CTTTGGCAACCCCACAGTTTAAATGTTTATAATAAATACGTCGTGAGTTGTGGGCGTTACAGACGAACGTTCACCTAATCTGACCCAGTCAATGGGATATTTTAGCGTGCCAATCAATGGTCTCGCCTACACTGTTTTGCACATGATTCTATTATCTTTACAACTAACATAATGTTTTACCTTTCTTGATGGCTGCATTAACTTTGTCTTTTAAACACAACTATTTCAAATTGTATTTTTTCGTCCTGAACATGCATGAAATATTTGCCACCGGACGTTAAGCAACCACCAATCAATCAATTTAAATTGTACTAAAAAATCACTGTTAACTTAATCAAATTTTTGAAGCACTTTATTCATGGATGGAAGTAGCGGTGGCATCACCTTTCTCTAGTTTGATAGGGTTAAGTTGAAGATTCATTTTTATATAAGCTTAATGTTCACCCGGAATAGAATTAAATCAGTAGAAATTAATAGGAAATTTACGAAACCGGACAGAGGAAACGAAAACAAAATAACAAACACCATTCAGATCCCGTTTCCTCTGAGTAAAAATAACGTTATACAGTATTCAGTAAAGTCACCCTTTTTCTGTCAAATTCTTTGCATATCGGTCAACTTTGAAGCAATTTATCTAAAAAACAAAGATGGTGACATATGCGTTTCTATACATGCACGGATGCAGTATACAATCCTGGATATTATGTTAGCTTTTAGTCTTTCTCCGTATATAAGAACATAGCCATCCAGTGAATAATTAAAAAAATAAGTAAAAAAAGGCATTTTCCCTATATAACTATGTAAATTCGTTGACAAAATTGACGTTTTCTTATGAAAATTACAAAAAATTAAAAATCGTGACCCCCATTTTTTATTTCATATTCCGATGTAACTCGAATAAAAGAACAAGTATGCCAAAAATTTTAGAAATCGGGAGATATGCCATTCGGTATCATGTTACCTTAATTTCTTATTGTGTAACATTGCTTTATTTTGTAATTTATATAACCTGTATATATTATTAACTATTATCAACATTATTACAGTGTGCTTTACTAAACCAGTTTGTGAATTTTCAAAGGGTTATTTGTAGTGTTGTCAAATCGAGCAGTTCTGTCTAAATAACTTATTTGACGTAAAAGAGAGGCGAAAGATACCAGAGGGACATTCAAACTCATAAGTCGAAAAATAATCTGACAACGCCATGGCTAAAAATAAAAAGACAAACAGACAAACAATAGTACAGAGACACAACATAGAAAACTAAAGACTGAGCAACACGAACCCCACCAAGAACTGGGGCGATAAAGTCTGACTGGTTCATGGTAACTGCATAACATTCAAGAAATATAATAAAATTTTAGCATTAATCTATTAAAATATAAGCTTTTCTTTTAAAGGCGACACATTTTCCTCAAGTAATCTAAGTATTACTATAAGTATTATTTTTATGTGATAATTTTTAATGACAATAAAATTATTTAAGCATTTAGGTGCAAAAATGTCGAAAGTATCAATTGTCAGAATTTTGACATACATTAAAAGTAATATAAACTAATTAGAACACAAAGGAAACAAATGTTTCAACATTTATAAAAATATAAACATTCCCTGTTTAAATCACCTGAAAGTATATGATCAATTCAAACAGACATTGCTTGGGACTATTCAAAACGCCTTCAATAACCGTATTTTGAAGAAATGTTTATTTGTTTTGAAGAATATTTTAGAAATTTAGTATATGTATCAATTAACTTCCAGTTGAACTTTGAAGATGGTTCAATATAGAACGAGGAAATAGAAAATGGAAATTTTGTAATCTAGACATTGAAGATAATTTCAGTATATTACATATGGTTTGATTTTTCTTGTCTCTCTTTGGTTTATTTGGTCACGTGTTTTCCAAAATATATTTTGTATTTTTTCACTATTTTGTCATATTGACTCGACGTTACTTTTTTTAGAAATGCTATTGACTCCATGTTACTAAAAATAGTAACTGTCCAACATCGAGTCAATATCAATTTCAAACTTACACTATGATTAACATATGTAATATATAAATTAAGGACTTTCACTCAGTCAATACGTTATATATGGACCTGTCAGATTATATTGAAGCTCGGCCTTCGTCCTCGGTCAATATAATCCGAACAGGTCCATATTTAACGTATTGACCTCGTCAAAAGTCCATTATTGATAAATATTAGTAGTTGTTTACATTTTGTGGAAGAATGAATGCACAAATTAAAAAAGTTTAAAATAGAAATCCAAATAGCATACTCTTTCCTGAAATAATGTCTTCTACAAACAGGACAGATCTCAAAAATTTATGTAAGTTTATACGAATTTAAAAAACAAATGTCCTCCTGAACACATTGAAATTATTATTTTTGTTGTATATTATATATTCAACTTTATAGAAACTTGTACTATGTGGACATAGTTTGGCCTTAAACAATTGTTGTTCAAGTTTTTACTATTCTTTACATATGATTTGATTTGATTGTTCGTGTTTTAACGCCACTTTCAGCACTATTGGCTATTTTGTGGCGACTAGCTTTTATTGGTAGAGGAAGCCGGAGTGCTCGGAGAGAATCACCGACCTTCGGTAGGAACTATTACATATATCATATATATTTCATTAAATCCAATGTTTTTGATTAAAAGGAGTCTTTTATAGATGTTTCATTCCATTTGACCCAAAAATGCATATTATACAAGCTATGCCTTCCTGAGGTAATTCCCTTATAGATTTATGCGATGGGAATTGTCTCAGATTGGGGTTAAGACGTCACAGTGGCCAATATTCGCAGGTCTTATGTTCACGTGTGATCAAAATGTAAATAGTTGATGCTGCTACTGTTACCGCTGTTGCTGGAAAAAGGTGTATTGCTTCTGTAACTGCTACTGCTCGGGAAAGGGTATTATTGCTGTTGTTGCAAGAGAAGAGCTATTGCTGCTACTGCAGGTTGTACTTGTGATATAAGCGATACTATGACTGCTGTTATGGAAATTCGTATGCTGTTCATGGTGATTAAAGGGGTTGAGCAACAGTTGGTGCTTCGGATAAGGTATTGCTGCTGCTGCTGTTGCTGTTTGGTAACAGAGTTTAGATGCCATGGTGTCCCATATTCACAGACGTTATGTCTTCGTCAGTGAACATAGGGTGAATCTAAAGAATTTACAGGACACTATGGCGTATGGTTATATTCATATGTCTGTACTATTTTTCATTTAAATCGATTAAATACGTTCAACTCTAGTGAAGTGTGACCGTTTAATTAAGCAATCGAGATGAATAAATGTATACCACCATTTGTTTATTATTTTTCATTAAAATTTTGTAAATGATATGTCTGGACATGAAATGACTCTATCAGATTGCGCGATCAGTATTTAAAAAAAATTATTTCCGTTATTTCAAATAAACGGTGTAATGCAAACATTCCGATTGTATTCTTTTAAAGTAGAAATATGGTGATCTATATCTTCTTTCTTCAATTTGTATCTTTCATATCTTATATCACTGGATTGATAGAAAAAGGGTCACAAAAAGTCATCAGGTGGCTCTTGTATTTATTACAACTAAAACTTTATATTTGTCTATTTCGAATATCCTTTATTACATAACAATTATCATTCATCTCATGACGCCATGCGATACCTATGGGAGGAGTTAAAACAAAACACTGAATACCCCTAACTTTAGAAATACCAGGAATAATTTGATATCATAGAATGATTTTTTCTTATGCAGCAATTTAGTTACCTTCAGACTTTTGTCAGTTTCTGAATGAGTGGACCGAGTTGTAACACCAATATACACATGTAAATCACCCTGTAAAGCAACCGAATTCGCTGTTTCAGAATCTAAAGAACTATATGAGTAATTTCATTGTTTGAATACCAAAGTGGAAATACCAATACGTCATTGGCTGAATTTGCATTGTTAAGGACGTGGTTAACAAATTGCAATGTTTTGACGAACTCGTTTGAAAGCATTACGGAATCTATAATGATAAAAGGTAATTTTGCAGCTAGAAAATGATGACCAAATAAACATCAACGACTAGTTTTATCATTATCAATTATAATAATTAAAGTTTAATATGAATAAAATCGGACATTAACCCAACGACATTAAAACCATCTGTATTGGTTCTTTCATTCGTATTTAAAAAAAAGAAAAGGCAAACAACGTGGAATACGAACGTATGAAGCAACATCAATTTGCATAGTGAAACATAAGTTTGTTAACAAATAAGAACGTGTCATATATATATATATTTATTTCTGTCAAGTTGATTCAGGCAGCAAGGAACCAAACATGGAAAAACACTAATAAAATATATAAAAAAAAAGCAACAAAACATTCTAAATTCTCTTTGAAATGTTTAATTATTTTCATCCAAAAAATTTATTTAGCAAGTTACTTTTATTAGTACTGAATGTTTTTATTTGAACCATATTGATTTAGGAAATTCATTGTTCTCTATATTTTTTATTTTAAAAAGATTTTCGGAAAGACTTTTTTTCATAGTTTCAAAACCTAAAAGCCTTTGGGCTCAAATCAAAGATGAACACAACTTTGGCTTACAAAAAGAATTTATCAAAACATTGCAAATTACATCTGATTCAGTGTTCTATATTTAGTTAATGACTAAGGTTACGCGCGGAAATAGATTGTGTGTTTTTTTAACTAAAAAATCGTTATATATATTTAGAAGGGGAAATAACAAATCGTGCAATTTATTTTATTCTTAGTTCTGATTAAATGAAGAAAATCACATTTCATGAGTTTTAAAATACCAATATTGGTTCCCTCTTCCTGTAAGACAATCAATTATAAAATGTTTGAAGTATTTTTTTTTATGATAGTATCCGCAACTTCAAGTGATCTCAAGTATACCAGGAAGTTTAACAATTTTAAACTTAGTAAATTTCAACGGTATAATATATATATTCCTTTCTGAGCATTCATTTCAAATACATGTATGTAAAAATAATTTTTTACTTTCGATTTACCAGAAATTCCAGAGATATGACCGATCGATGTGTCTGATACACGGAAGTGATATTAATCAGCAGTTTAAGAAAAGAGTATGGGTATACAGTATGGACACATCTTCATTTTACTCTTTATATACGGAAATGTAAAAGGTTCTCATCAGTTATCTACAAAAGACAAGAATGCCTGTAAATCTGACACAGGGTATGTTATTTTTTTTATATGGACGTGGCATGAAAAAAAAATTTTTTAACGAATACAGGCGGATATTATACACGTTATTTCATTACTGTTTCTTTTATTAGACTACCATAGAAATACCGTGGTTAGTATATATAAGATGATGTGTTAACTAATGTTTACTTTATCTTTCAATTTATAATTACTCTTTTACCATGATTATTACGTCATTATTGATCAGTTACATTTTTTTTTCAGGATAGAATGTTGTTATGGATTTATATTATCACAAGATCGATCCAGATGTGAAGGTTCGGGAATTTTGATCTGTTTATGTCACGTAGAGACATAGATTGTGGTGCATCCCTTTTATAATTAGGCCACGTCTATTTAATATTTGTTTTGCGTCCATTCAAATGTGCAATGCCATACAGTTCGTCTTTGATCAATGATATATATAGCAATACAATAAGTAAAAGGGAAATAATTCGTCTGAAAAAATTCTTTGTCATTCCAAGAATTGTAATTCTAAGAATCATATTGGTCGACCCATATATATGACTGGCGTTTTAAATCAGTTAATTATGAAATCTTTTATGTCAAGTGAAAATACACATATATTTTCGTACCGTTTATTTTTGCATGTTATTTCATTATCATATCTTTTTAAGACTACCACCGAAATTCCGTGGTTTGAACAATGATGCATTATCTAATATCAACTTTCTCTTTTGCTTTATATCAGAATATGTTTACGTCATTATTGGTCATTTACTTTTACATAAAGCAAAAGAGAAAGTTGATATTGATTTAGTTAATACATCATTTATATTCTAACCACGGAATTTCGGTGGTAGTCTAAACAAGATATAATAAATTCATATTCAAACACTTTTTCAAATTCAAATTCGTATATTTATTGCCATGTAAACTTTAAACAACAAGTTTGTGACAAATACAAAATAAGTAAACAATATAACTGAACTTCACATATTCGGCGAGGGAAGAACAAAAATTTGCTTACGCAAATTTGCAGATTTAACATTGTTGTGCTGATATTTAGAGTAATTATGAATATATATATATATATGGTTTGAACGTTGTTTTCAATTTAGACTTATTTATATATCACACAACCATTTAATAACAGTAAAAAGTCCAGTGTCCACTGTCCTCAGTTCTAATGACTTTTTGATTTACTTGTGATGGTGTTGATAGATTGAGTATAAAATTCACATTTCTACATCAGACAAATCTTTAACAGAAAAGTTTAATTCCAAATTATCAAAAAAGTTGTTTCTCAGTTCCCTATTTAATTCACAATCTTTATAACATTGAAATAACATGTAAAAATAAACGCTTATAATATATATATCCTATTTCCATCACATTAAATACTAATTATCAAAGTATAATTTGATTGACATGTGCTATATCGCGTCCCATGAAATTGAGCTCATTAGAAGAAAATTGATGTCAATTAATTTATAGCCAAAAAATAGAAAAATATTTTATAGCCTACCGTGAAAACGATCGCAATTTAATGACGAAAGAAAATAAATTTGAAAGTTCATCATCTAAAAAATATCAACAAGACTTTATTGTTTTATCAGTTACACAAAAAAAGTCATTCTCGTGGTGAGGTTGTTCTAGTTTTTATTGTTTATTATTGATTAAAACTTCACAGAGATTCCACTTTAAATCATGTTCAGTGGAATATCTGTCAAATGGAATATCATTCAAATGAAATATCTGTCGAATGGAATATACGTCAAAGCAAATATCAGTCAAATTGTATATATTTCAAGTCGAATATCAGACAGTTGGAATATCTGTCAAGTGGAATATCTGTCTAATGGAGTATCTGTCACGTGGAACATCTGTCAGGTCGATTATCAGTCAAATGGAATATCTATCTAATGGAATATATGTCATGTGGAGTTTCTGTCAAATGGAATATCTGTTAAGTGGAAATAGACCAAATAGAATATATGTCTAATGATATATATCTCGTATGGAATTTCTGTCAAATGGAATATCAGTCAAGTGGAATATCTGTCATGTGAAATTTCTGTCGAATGGAATATCTGTCTAATGGAATATCTGTTATGTGAAATGTCTGTCAGATGGAATAGGTCAAATGAAATATCTGTCAGTGGGATATCTGTCAAATGGAATATCTGTCAAGTGGAACATCTGTCATATGGAATGATTTTCAAATAGGAGTTATGACAAATAGAATAGGTCAAATGGGATGGGCCAAATGGTATACATAAATCTGTCAAATAGACTATGTTAAATGGGATGTCTGTCAAATGGAATAGGTCAAGTGAAGTATCAGTCAAATGGATTAGGTCAAATGTTATATCTGTCAAATGAAATATCTGACAAAGAGAATGGGTCAAATGGAAAATCTGTCTAATCGAATGGGCCAAATGTATACATATATCTGTCAATTAGAATAGGTCAAATGGAATATCTAGCAAATGGATAGCTCAAATGGAATGTATGTCAAATAGGATAGGTCAAATGAAATATATCAAATGGAATAGGTCAAAATTAATAGCTGTCAAATGCAATCGGTCGAATGTAATATCTGTCAAATGGCATAAGTCAGATGGAATAGGTAAAAAGGAATATCTGTCAAATGGAATTATTATAGGTCAAATGTAATATCTGTCAAATGGAATAGGTAAAAAGGAATATCTGTCAAATGGAATAGTTCAAATGTAATATCTGTCAAATGTAATATCTGTCAAATGGAATAGGTCAAATGTAATTTCTGTCAAATGGAATATCTGTCAAATGGAATAGGTCAAAATGTAATATATGTCAAATGAAATAGGTCAAATGTAATATCTGTAAAATGGAATAGGTAAAAAGGAATATCTGTCAAATGGAATAGGTCAAATGTAATATCTGTCAAATGGAATATCTGTCAAATGGAATATCTGTCAAATGGAATAGGTCAAATGCAATATCTGTCAAATGGAATATCTGTCAAATGGAATAGGTCAAATGTAATATCGGTCAAATGGAATAGGTCAAATGTAATATCTGTCAAATGGAATATCTGTCAAATGGAATAGGTCAAATGTAATATCGGTCAAATGGAATAGGTTTAATGTAACATCTGTCAAATGAAATTGGTTAAATGTTATATCGGTCAAATGGAATAGGTCAAATGTAATATCTGTCAAATTGAATAGGTCAAATAGAATATTTGTCAAATGGAATAGTTAAAAAGGAATATCTGTCAAATGGAATAGGTCAAATGTAATATCGGTCAAATGGAATAGGTCACATGTAATATCGGTCAAATGGAATAGGTCAAATGTAATATCTATCAAATGGAATAGGTCAAATGTAATATCTATCAAATGGAATAGGTCAAATGGAATATCTGTCAAACAGTAACAGATACTAAAAAAATATTCAATCTTTCTTTGGGAACAAGGGTTGCAATCAGAAACATCTCCATGTGCTGATCTGCAATAAGATAATGAAATTTTAATGGTACATATGTTAGATTTTATTTATCAGAAGTGAACTGCAGTCGCATCTGTAATCCAAGCTTTAATCTTTAATTTGCAATATGAATGACATCTTTAGCTCAGTCACACGCACTAGAGAATGCTCTGTAGACCACGAAAGTTCACGGAAGAACAATATCAAATGTCTCCCCTTTATCGAAAAGAAACATACTTTACATACTCATGTCCTTTGAACTTTTGATGTTCACTGTCAGAAGTTAGAAGTTGTTGCAATCCACAAAAGTTGAAAAAGCACACCATTTTGTCCTTAAAATATTTTGTACACCAGACGCTGGTTTCATCTACAAAAGACTCATAAGTGATGCTCGAATTAAAATAGTTGTAAGGCCAAATAAAGTACGAAGTTAAAGAGCATTGAGGCCCCCAAATTCCAAAAAGTTTGGCCAAATACAGCTTTGGAAATTTATTCCTGGTGTAGTAAATCTGTAATATTTCGATCAACGATCTTTTTATACGGACGCAAATTGTTTGCGGTCGTTTAATGTGCCACAAGGTTCCATACCACAAAAAGAAGGTTGGGATTAATTACGGGGTTATTGTCCTAATTGTTTAGGAATTAGGGACCAAACAGGGGCCAACAACAAGCATGTTTCTGGTTTCAGGTCAATGACTTGTGTATAAGTGTATGGATCACTATGAAATTGTACCACAATGTGTCATACCTCAAAAGGAAGGTTGGGATTAATTTTGAGGGTTATGGCCCAAACCGTTTAGGAATTAGGATCTCTGATTTCCAGACAATAACTTGAGTATAAGTCTATGTAAAGTATGTATCTCTATGAAATTGTTCCACAAGATTCCATACCGAAATAGGAAGGTTGGAATTGATTTTTGGGTTATGGCCCTTTAATTCAAAGTCTTGAATACTTGGGATTCTGTAATATACAGAATCTAACCGTGCATTTAGATTTTTGATTTTGGGCCCCATTTTTGAATTGGTCCCCATTGATTTCCAAAGGATCTAAGATTAAACTTTGTTTAATTTCATCAAAAATTGTATTATTGGGGTATTTGATATGCCGAGTTTAGCCGTGTATTTAGATTTTTAATTTTGGGTCCCATTTTCAAATCGTTCCATATTAAGGTCCAAAGTCTCCAAAATAAAACCTTGTTTGAATAAAAAAAATGAATTTTTGGGTTCTTTGATATGCTGAATCTAACCATCTATTTAGATTTTTGATTTTGGGCCCAGTTTTCAAATTGGTCTATATTGAGGTCCAAAGGGTCCAACATTAAACTTTGTTTTATTTCATCAAAAATATGAATTCTTTTGGTTCTTTAGTTGCTGATTCTAACCAGGTATATAGATTTTGGATATTAGACCTTGATAGGCAAATGTCCAATTTCAAATTTTTAAGTTCTTAGACATGTTAGATATTTTGAAAAATAATTGAAAGTAAGTTTTATAGATTTTTTAAAAACATTGCATTAATGGGGAATGACATTTTGGAGATTGTTTTTTTTTCTTCATTTTTTTGGTAAATTTTAAGAAGAACTTCGTGATAGGTTTGTTTGTTATTCTGTATAAATTAATTGAATGTAGTGCCCATTCTTGACCCGACTGTTCAGGGTTCGACCTCTGTGGTCGTATCAAGCTGCGCCCCGCGGAGCATTTTATTAAGACATTATCTTGAGATAAATTTTTGTCATTACTTTTAATTTGTAAAGTCTTTAGGAAGAGTGAAGCAAGTTGAAGAGAAACATAGTCAATTATTGCGAACCCAATGAAAGTTTTCCACAGTGCCATCTCTATCTTGACCAGGTATTTAAACTTTTGCAAGTTCACCTGTCTTATTGAATGAATACAATAGCTATTTTTCTCTGTGTAGTTTATTCACTGGGACCTTTAAATTTCTTCTAAGAGAAATCTATCATTCATTGATTAAATTACCTGTGTAAAAAAAAATTCTTATATACAGACAAAAATACTTTTTTTATACTCATTAATTGCGTGTGCTGATGTATTTATTCAATATTAATAATATATTTTCATTCAGTTTAATATAAACATTGATTCAATCATAAAAAGTTGATTTCTAACAAAAGTTTTATCAATGTTCCTATTGAAATTTGATTTTTTTTTGTTTAGTTATAGAAGATCTTAATTTGAAACATCATTATTTTCAAGTTCTTATTCATGTCAAACAAATTTTTTTTTAAAAGGAACAATGTTGAAAGTTTTGTCAGAAATCAAATTTTTATGATTGAATCAATGTTTATATTATTGCGAACCCAATGAAAGTTTTCCACAGTGCCATCTCTATCTTGACCAGGTATTTAAACTTTTGCAAGTTCACCTGTCCTATTGAATAAATATAATAGCTATTGTTCTCTGTGTAGTTTATTCTCTGGGACCTTTAAATTTCTTCTAAGAGAAATCTATCATTCATTGATTAAATTACCTGAGTAAAAAAATGATCTTAAATGAAGACAAAAATACTTTTTTTATACTCATTAATTGCATGTGATGATGTATTTATTCAATATTAATAATATATTTTCATTCAATTTAATATAAACATGGATTCAATCATAAAAAGTTAATTTCTAACAAAAGTTTTATCAATGTTCCTATTGAAATTTGATTTTTTTTTTGTTTAGTTATAGAATACATTTAAGAAGATCTTAATTTGAAACATCATTATTTTCAAGTTCTTATTCATGTCAAACAATTTTTTTTTTAAAAGGAACAATGTTGAAAGTTTTGTCAGAAATCAACTTTTTATGATTGAATCAATGTTTATATTAAACTGAATGAAAATATATTATTATTGCGAACCCAATGAAAGTTTTCCACAGTGCCATCTCTATCTTGACCAGGTATTTAAACTTTTGTAAGTTCACCTGTCCTATTGAATAAATACAATAGCTATTTTTCTCTGTGTAGTTTTTTCACTGGGACCTTTAAATTTCTTCTAAGAGAAATCTATCACTCATTGATTAATTTACCTGAGTAATAAAAAAATCTTGTAAATAGAGGAAAATACATGTTTTATACTCAAAACTGCATGTGATGTTATATTTATTCAAGATTGATAATATATTTTCAATCGGTTGAATGTAAACAGTGATGCAAAGTTGAAACATTAATAAAATATAAAAAAGAAGGTGTGGTATGATTGCCAATGAGACAACTCTCCACAAGAGACCAAATGACACAGAAATTAACAACTATAGGTCACCATACGGCCTTCAACAATGAGCAAAACCCATACCGCACAGTCAGCTATAAAAGGCCCTGAAATGACAATGTAAAACAATTCAAACGAGAAAACTAACGGCCTAATTTATGTACAAAAGATGAACGAAAAACAAATATGTAACACATAAACAAACGACAACCACTGAATTACAGACTCCTGACTTGGGACAGGAACATACATACAGAATGTGGCTGGGTTAAACATGTTAGCATTGATTTATGTTATATTAATAATATATTTTCATTCAGTTTAATATAAACATTGATTCAATCATAAAAAGTTGATTTTTGACAAAACTTTCAACATTAAAAAATTTGTTTGACATGAATAAAAACTTGAAAATTATGATCTTCAAATCAAGATCTTCTTAAATGTATTCTATAACTAGACAAAAAAAAATCAAATTTCAATAGGAACATTGATAAAACTTTTGTTAAAAATCAACTTTTTATGATTGAATCAATGTTTATATTAAACTAAATGAAAATATATTATTAATATTGAATAAATACATCATCACACGCAATTAATGAGTATAAAAAAAGTATTTTTGTCTATATATAAGAATTTTTTTATACTCAGGTAATTTAATCAATGAATGATAGATTTCTCTTAGAAGAAATTTAAAGGTCCCAGAGAATAAACTACACAGAGAACAATAGCTATTGTACTTATTCAAAAGGACAGGTGAACTTGCAAAAGTTTAAATACCTGGTCAAGATAGAGATGGCACTGTGGAAAACTTTCATTGGATTCGCAATAATATTGAATAACTACATCATAACACACAGTTAATGAGTATAAAAAAAGTATTTTTGTCTACATATAAGATCATTTTTTTACTCAGGTAATTTAATCAATGAATGATAGATTTCTCTTAGAAGAAATTTAAAGGTCCCAGAGAATAAACTACACAGAGAACAATAGCTATTGTATTTATTCAATAGGACAGGTGAACTTGCAAAAGTTTAAATACCTGGTCAAGATAGAGATGGCACTGTGGAAAACTTTCATTGGGTTCGCAATAAACTGAATGAAAATATATTATTAATATTGAATAACTACATCATCACATGCAGTTAATGAGTATAAAAACAGTATTTTTGTCTATACATAAGAAATTTTTTTTACTCAGGTAATTTAATCAATGAATGATAGATTTCTCTTAGAAGAAATTTAAAGGTCCCAGAGAATAAACTACACAGAGAACAATAGCTATTGTATCTATTCAAAAGGACAGGTGAACTTGCAAAAGTTTAAATACCTGGTCAAGATAGAGATGGCACTGTGGAAAACTTTCATTGGGTTCGCAATAAATTTCTTCTAAGAGAAATCTATCATTCATTGATTAAATTACCTTGAGTAAAATAAAATTCTTATATATAAACAAAAATACTTTTTTTATACTCATTAATTGCGTGTGATGATGTATTTATTCAATATTATTGCGAAAATATATTATTAATATTGAATAACTACATCATCACACGCAGTTAATGAATATAAAAACAGTATTTTTGTCTATATATAAGAATTTTTTTTTACTCAGGTAATTTAATCAATGAATGATAGATTTCTCTTAGAAGAAATTTAAAGGTCCAGAGAATAAACTACACAGAGAACAATAGCTATTGTATTTATTCAATAGGACAGGTGAACTTGCAAAAGTTTAAATACCTGGTCAAGATAGAGATGGCACTGTGGAAAACTTTCATTGGGTTCGCAATAATCGGAATTCAACTTATGTCGAAATTTTGATATAAAAATAGAAGAGAGCGAGATCACGTGCAACAAATTAGATTGACATGGCCTAGAAGTTCAAAATTCATTTCCAATATTTATTTCCGGATGTTGGATTGATATCTGATACATTAATGTTTGAATGTCCATAACTTTAAATACTTAATTAAATTATAAAAAAAAATCTGTTTTTTTTATTATTTTGCAGACTGCCCAGCTGGTCTATATGGTAATAGCTGTTCATATAAATGTCCGAATGGACAGTACGGGGTTCGTTGTAGCTCAGAATGCAAGTGTTCAGGGAACCAAATTTGTGATAGAGTCGAAGGATGCAAATTAAAAACCCGTTTCTGGAAAGGTATGATGTGAATAATATGGTCATATGCAGCTTAAAATTATAACGCTGAACTAACAAAAAAAAGTATTCAAATAGAAATTAAAAAAGATATATACTAAGATGACAATGAAATTTTGCGATTTCAAAGGACAAACGAAACAGTTACGAAAAGAAAAGTATGTAAAGACCAAAACAAAGTTCCGAATCGTATGCCACAACACAGAAACTAAACGATTTAGTCATAAAACGTATCTCACCAAATACCAGGGATGAATTCATGTTGCCAGGAAGGGTAAGCATGCCAGCACAGCAATGTTGCTCTTGTTATGATAACTTTTTTACATGTCGCTGAGATAAGACGGTGTATAATTTTAAAATGTAACCCCGCCAAATTCTTTATGTGCCTGTCTCAAGTCAGGAGCCTGTAGTTGAGTGGTTGTCGTTGGTTCATGTCTTTCATATTTGTTTTTCGTGAATTGTTTTGTTATAAATAAGGCCTTTAGTTTTCTTAATTGAATTGTTTCATATTTTTCATGTCGGGGCCTTTTATAGCCGACTATACAGTATGGGTTTTTCTCATTGTTGAAGGCCGTACGGTTACCTATAATTGCTTAAATCCACTTCATTTGAGCTTTGGTGGGTAGTTGTCTCATAGGCAATCATACCACATCTCCTTATTTTCATATTGAACTGAATTAGACCAAGAAAAATGTGATGTGTGCAGTTTTCATTTCTGTTGGCATTCTTGATCATAAGTAACCACTTGATTATTTTAAAGGAACCAGATGATCTACCCAAAACAGACGTCTTGTCTTTAGCAAACATCGTGCATTTTCGGAAACGCAATGTATCTACTAGTAGTGAGTTTTTTTTTTGGAGGAGTAAAACTTAATTTACTTTTCCTACTCAACAACATTACCTTTTGCCAAAACTAAAGTTACTAACTTGTTGCTTTATTATATCTTTTATAAAAAGGTTAAATATTAACAGTTTCTCGGATTAACTTGCACTTCTTGTGGGTGCAAATTGGAACCACATTTTTTTAAGGTAGAATCATCAAACTAGGCAATAATATACCTCGGGGATAGATAAAACAATTAAAAAAAAAGATAAAGCTCGCCTGGTTCGGCATTACAAGTGAAATTCGTGTCAAAATCCTATAGGCCTATCTCATAGGATTTTTTAAAATCCTTAGAAATTCTGTAGGATAAAGACATAATCCCGTAGGATATTTTGTGGTATGCTTATAGCCTCAACAACATTTGCATTCTCAATTTTATACGGCCGCAAAAAATTTTGCGGTCGTATATTGGTATCACGTCGTCGTCGTCGTCGTCAGCGTCGTCCGAAGATATTTGGTTTCCGGACAATAACTTTAGTATAAGTAAATAGAAATCTATCAAATTTAAACACAAGGTTAATAACCACAAAAGGAAGGTTGGGTATAGTACAAACAGTTTAGGAATTAGGGGCCAAAAAGGGGCCCAAATAAGCACTTTTCTAGTTTCCAGACAATTACTTGTGGAACGGTGTATGGATCTATCTGAAATTATACCACAAGTTTCCATACCACAAAGGGATGGTTAGGATTGGCTTTGGAGGGTAATGGCTCAAACCGTTTAAGAATTTTGGGCAAAAAAGGGGGGGAAAACAAGGGTTTTCTTGTTAATTGGCAATTATTTTTAAGTACAATGTTTTTTGTTTGGATTACCTCCCTTAAACTGCTTTTAAATTATGTATAAAGAAATGTTATATTGTCTTGAGGTGATTAGCTGTCAATTTATTTTAAGAAGTTACTATTAAAATGCTGATAAAGGAATATTAATTTTAGACATGATTATGTTTGTCATTTTCTATTTTAAGACTCTTATGGTGTATTTAAATGGGTAATTATGGTTGCAAACTTCATTGGAAATTTGAATTGAGATAATGACCATATCTTGAGGGAAAGAATTATTTTTTTGGAAAAAGGGGGGGGGGGGGGAGGTGAAAAAAGTGGGGGGACATTTTCAGATTTCAGAAAAAAGAATTTATTTTTGGGGGGGGATCAATTTGCAACAGCATAGTGTATTGCACAAAAGCAAAAAAAAAAGGGGGGGGGGGGTAAACAAATTTTAATTTTTTTTTGGGTGAGGGTATAATTCGCAACAGCATAGTGTTTGCACAAAAGCAAAAAATTGAATATAAATTCAAATCATATAACCAATTCTAAGTTCTTTGACTACAGTAATTCTCTGTCAGAAACCTATTATGTGTTAAATATTTAATTACAATCCAAATTCAGACCTGTATCAAGCGGGAATATTGTGTCCATTTTTGCCCCAACTGTTCAGGGTTGGACCTCTGCGGTCGTATCCAGCTGCCCTCGGCGAAGCAATTTATTAAAATTTAAATTCTAATAGTTTTGACATCTTTTAGTTTTGATTTAGAAGGTTTATCTTTTTGGTATCAGTAAAATAACATGGTTGACTCAAGGTTCCTTGAAGATTTGGCAATTCCTGCTCAACAAGTTGGATATTGTATTTGGATACAAGTTGGTCGAGAAATACTTGTTCAAAGACTCAAAAACAAATTTTATGTTTTACTATTATTGGGAATTTGTATTATTGGTAGTAAAGTTTGCATTTATTGAACAATGAAACCCGGGGAAATTTGGTAAAAAATATAATACTTTTGCTAAGTAACAGAACATAATAAAAAGTATTATCTCGTCTTATGTTTTTTTCTCCAATGGGATTTTTTTCCCCCATAGAATCTTTTTCTCCCTAAGGTTTTTATACGACCGCGGTTGTATATTGGTATGATGTTGGCGTCTTCGTCGTCATCGTCCGTCTTGTCGTTGTCGTCGTCGTCGTCGTCGTCCGAAGACACATTGGTTTTCGCACAATAACTTTAGTTTAAGTGAATGGATCTCTTTGAAATTTTACCATAAGGTTCAATACTACAAAAGGAAGGTTGGGATTGATTTTGGGGGTTATGGTACTAACAGTTAAGGAATTAGGGGCCAAAAGGGGCCAAAAATAAGCATTTTTGTAACTTCCAGACAATAACTTGTGTGTTAGTGTATGGATCTCTCTGACATTGTACCACAAGGTTCCATATCACAAAAGGAATGCTGGGATTGATTTTTGGGGTAGTTGTCTCAAAATTTTAAGAATTAGGGGCCAAAAAAGGAACAAAAACAAGCATTTTTCTAGTTTCATGACAATAACTTGTGTGTAGGTGTATGGATCTTTCTGAAATTGTACTACAAGGTTTCATATCACAAAGGAAAAGCTGGAATTGAGTTTGGGGTAATTGCCCAAAACGTTAAGGAATTTGGGTCCAAAAAGGGGCAAAAAAATAACAATTTTTTTAGTTTCCAGACAATAACTTGTGTTCAAAAGTATGGATCTCTCTGAAATTGTACTGCAAGGTACCATACCACAAAGGGAAGGCTGGGATTGCTTTTGGGGGTAATTGCCTCAAAATGTTAAGAATTAGGGGGCAAAAAGGGGCAAAAAACAAGCATTTTTCTAGTTTCAGGACAATAACTTGTGTGTAAGTGTATGGATCTTTATGAAATTGTACTACAAGGTTCCATATCACAAAGGAAATCTGGGTTTGAGTTTTGGGGTAGTTGCCCTAAACGTTTAGGAATTTGGGGCCAAAAAAGGGCCAAAAAAACAAGCATGTTTCTAGTTTCCAGACAATAACTTGTGTTCAAGTGTATGGATCTCTCTGAAATTGTACTGCAAGGTACCATACCACAAAGGGAAGGCTGGGATTGAGTGTGGGGGTGATGAATCATAAGGGGGTTCAAAAAATTTGGGGGGGGATTTTTTTTCTTTTTTTCCCCCTTTTTTTTTCCTTTTTTTTTTCTTTAAAACTTTCTATTTTAAGTTGGTTATTTCTGATTTATATATAAAAGCAAATCATAATGATATGGTTTGATTTCATCAAAAATTGAAATATTGGGGTTCTTTGATATGCTGAATCTAACCGTGTATTTAGATTCTTAATTCTTGGTCCCGTTTTCAAATTCGTCTAGATTAAGGTCCAAAGGGTCCAAAATTAAACTTATTTTGATTTTAACAAAAATTGAATTCTTGGGGTTCTGTAATATGCTGATTCTAAACATGTATTTAGATTTGTGATTATGGGCCCAGTTTTCAAGTTGGTCCAAATCGGGGTCCAAAATTACACTTTGTTTGATTTCAACAAAAATTGAATATATGAGGTTCTTTGATATGCTGAATCTAACCGTGTATTTAGATTTTTGGATTTTGGGCCTCGTTTTTAAATTTATCCACATTGAGGTCCGAAGGGTCCAAATGAAACTTTGTTTGATTTCATTGAATTATGGAGGTTCGTTGATATGCTGAGAGTTTTGGTCCCAACAGGAATGTGGGGCCAAAAAAAGGCCCAAATAAGCGTTTTTCTAGTTTTCAGACAATAACTTGTGGAATGGTGTATGGATCTCTCTCTGAAATTATACCACAAGTTTCCATACCACAAAAGGATGGTAAAAATTGGCTTTGAGTGGTTATGGCTCAAACCGTTATGGAATAAGGGGCAAAAAAGGGGAAAAACAAGGGTTTCCAGGTTAATGGACAATTACTTAAGTACAAAACATAATTTAAAAGCAGTGTAAGGTTGGTATTTCAAACTCATTTGAATATCTCACCTACACTGCTTTTAAATTATGTATACTGGAAATTTGCCAATAACTTTATTGTTAACAAATTCCATTGGAAATTTGCCAATAACTTTAGTATAATAAACTTCATTGGAAATTTGCCAATATAAAATATTACTGTTGAAGGTTTTTTGTTCATTTTTAGCCATGACAATAATGTCATTTTCTATTTTAATAGCCTTATGATGTATTTAAATTTTTTAATACTTTTATGATATATTTAAATGGGCTTTTATGGTTGAAAATTTATTGGGGTTGTAATTCAAACTCATTTGAATATCTCATCTACACTGGTTTTAAATTATGTATATTGGAAATTTGCCAATAACTTTAGTATTAATAAATTCCATTGGAAATTTGACAATAACTTTAGTATAATAAACTCCATTGGAAATTTGCCAATATAAAATGTTGCTGATGAAGGTTATTTGTTTATTTTTAGCCATGGCTATGTTGTCATTTTCTATTTTAATACCTTTATGATGTATTTAAATGGGCTTTTATGGTTACAAAGGAATTTTATTTTTAGATATACTGTATAATGTTGCTGATTAAGGTTTTTTGTTTATTTTTAGCCATGACTATGATGTCATTTTCTCTTTTAATACCTTTATGATGTATTTAAATGGGCTGTTGTGGTTGCTAAGGAATTGAGTTTGATAGTTAATGCTCCAAGAGAGATTCAAACAGTTTGAAAGGGGGGTTTTCCAATATTTCTTAAACAGTTCATATTTTTTTTTTAACATTTTTCAAATTTCAAATATTGAAAAATTTCAGGAAGTAATCTTTAATTGCACAGTATGGTGCATTAGATTTCTAACATCTTTGACCACATTTATTTCTTTGATATGCCGAATCTAACCATGTATTTAGATTTTTAATTTTGGGTCCAGTTTTCAAATTGGTCTACATTAAGGTCCAAAGGGTCCAACATTAAACTTAGTTTGATTTTAACAAAAATTGAATTATTAAGGTTCTTTGATATGCTAAATCTAAACATGTGTTAAGTTTTTTTTGTATGACGTTTATGACGTTGGTGTCGTCGTCGTCGTCGTCGTCGTCGTCCGAAGACACATTGGTTTTTTGCACAATAACTTTAGTTAAAGACAATGGATCTCTATGAAATTTTACCATAAGGTTCAATACCACAAAAGGAAGGTTAGGATTGATTTTTGGGGTTATGGTACTTACAATTAAGGAATTAGGGGCCAAAAATAAGCATTTTTGTAACTTCCAAACAATAACTTGTGTGTTAGTGTATGGATCTCTCTGGCATTGTACCACAAGGTTCCATATCACAAAAGGAATGCTGGGATTGATTTTTGGGGTAATTGCCTCAACATTTTAGGAATTAGGGGCCAAAAAAGGGGCAAAAAACAAGCATTTTTCTAGTTTCATGACAATAACTTGTGTGTAGGTGTATGGATCTTTCTAAAATTGTACTACGAGGTTCCATATCACAAAGGGAAAGCTGGAATTAAGTTTGGGGTAATTGCCTAAAACGTTTAGGAATTTGGGGCCAAAAAGGGGCAAAAAAAGCATTTTTCTAGTTTCCAGACAATAACTTGTGTTCAAGTGTATGGATCTCTCCGAAATTATACTGCAAGGTACCATACCACAAAGGGAAGGCTGGGATAGATTTTTGAGGTAATTGCCTCAAAATTGTAGGAATTAGGGACCAAAAAGGGTAAAAAACAAGCATAGTTTCAGGACAATAACTTGTGTGTAAATGTATGGATCTGTATGAAATTGTACTACATTTCACAAAGGGAAATGTGGGTTTGAGTTTAGGGGTAACTGCCCTAAACGTTTAGGAATTTGGGGCCAAAAAGGGGCCAAAAAACAAGCATTATTCTAGTTTCCAGACAAACACTTGTGTTCAAGTGCATGGATCTCTCTGAAATTGTACTGCAAGGTACCATACCACAAAGGGAAGGCTGGGATTGAGTTTGGGGGTGATGAATCATAAGAGGGTTCAAAAAATTTGGCGGGGGGGGATTTTTTTCTCTATTTTAAGACTTTTATGATGTATTTAAATTGGATATTATGGTTGCAAACTCCATTCGAAATTTGAATTGAGATTATGACCATATCTTGAGGGAATGAATTTTTTTATGGAAAAGGGGGGGGGGGAGGTGAACAAAAAAATTAGGGGGGAGGGGGGTAAAAAATAAATTGTGGGGGCATTTTTTTTCTTTCATTTCAGATTTCAGAAATTGAAAAGAAAATTTCTTCAAATATTATTTCTTTTTGCAAAAAAAAGGGGGGGGGGGGTAAACAATTATTTTTTTTGGGGGAGGGGGTCAATACGCAACAGCATAGTGTATTTCACAAAAGCAAAAACAAGGGGGTAATTTTTTTTTGGGGGGGGGCGGGGGGTGGTCAATTTCGCAACAGCATAGTGTATTGCACAAAAGCAAAAAATTGAATACAAATTCAAATCATATAACCAATTCTAAGTTCTTTGACTACAGTTACTCGGTGTCAGAAACCTATTATGTGTCAAATATTTAATAACAATCCAAATTCAGACCTGTATCAAGCGCTAATATTGTGTCCATTTTTGCCCATACTGTTCAGGGTTGGACCTCTGCGGTCGTATCCAGCTGCGCTCAGCGAAGCACATTATTTAATTGTTTATTGGCCCAGTTTTCAAGTTGGTCCAAATTGGGGTCCAAAATTAAACTTTGTTTGATTTCAACAAAAATTGATTATATGGGGTTCTTTGATATGCTGAATCTAACCATGTATTTTGATTTTTGGGCCCGGTTATCAAATTGGTCCACATTGAGGTCAAAAGGGTCCAAAATTAAACTTTGTTTGATTTCATCAAAAATTGAATTCTTTGGATTCTTTGATATGCTGAATCTAACCATGTATTTAGATTTTGGATATTGGACCATAATAGGTAAATTAAAATTTTTTAAGTTCTTAGACCACATTCATTCTGTGTCAGAAACCTATGCTGTGTCAAATATTTAATCACAATCCAAATTCAGAGCTGTATCAAGCTTGAATGGTGTGTCCATACTTGCCCCAACTGTTCAGGGTTCGACCTCTGCGGTCGTATCAAGCTGCGCCCATCTGACATAGGATTTTTATTCTCACTTAGATTTCTTTTTCTCCCATCGGATTTTTTTTCTTTTTTGGAATTTTTCTTTATCCCACAGGATATTTTTTTCTATAATGAGATCCCTTAGGATTTTTATTAATCCTATAGGAAATTTTTTATTCTAAAGGATTATTTTACAAGAAAAAATTTCCTATAGTAGAAAAAATATTCTGTAGGGAATACTTTTTTTCCAAAGGGATTTTTTTTATTCCTAAGGCAGAAAATTTATCATACATGATATTTTTATATTCCTAAAGGATTAACTAACGGATTATTAATCCAATAGGATTTATAAAATCCTGTAGGATATTAGAAATATCCCATGGGATTATGACCTTATCCTATAGGATTTCTATAAATCCGGTAGGATTTTTAAAAATCATATATGAGAAAATAATATCCTATAGGATATTGACACGGATTTCACTCCTAATGCCGAACCAGTCGAGCTTTATAAAAAAAATTAATTGTTTTACCTATCCCCAGAGGTATATAATTATTGCCAAGTTTATTTCTACCTTAACAAAAATGTATCAGTGAACCAACACGTCCTTGTTAACTTCACCGACGATCAATCCTTCGAAATTTTCTATCATCTCATTTATGTTTAACTGTTTAAATTGCTATCTTGACTTTTTAAAAAGCTTTGGTAACCAATGGCGAGGGAAAGGAGAAGTCGACACGATACTCTACAGAAATTCAACCGACAAGACGACCCTCTACGTCCATTGAGGAGGGGACATCAGGTATGCTACTCATGATTCTACTTTCAGGTTAAAGGCCTGTTTTTATGTCAAGATAAAGTAAATATCGGTCCTGAAACTTTACTTTTTGGAAAGTCTATAGATCCAACATATAATACACCCGTATAAGATATAGCATTTGAAGCATCCGTGCTTATTTAGGATAACTAAAAAAAAATGAAATAACTTAGGGTATATGATTAAACCCAGCTTTTTGAATGTACATATTCAGATTAGTATTCAGGTTGTCTACAGGTTTTAAAAATACATACTTATTTGGTCATCAATGTTATCTTTCAGTTGAATATATGAAAAATTCGATGTTCCTTATTTTGTATTTTTTCGTTTGGATTTCTATTATTTTTTTAGTAGTCAGTGTTATAATTCATATTATGTAAATATAGGATATTATGTAACGTTGTACAACTTTAATCAGTTTTTATTTCTCATTTCTTTTTAATTCTTTACATCCTCGTTTTTATTTCAATATACAACATATGTATCTATTTCACCAAACTCCATGTGTAATATATACTGAATAGTTTAAAGAAGTTTCGGATTTTAAAGTACATTTATTTTTCAGATATAGACACAGTAGTATTATACAGATCACAGAATAGGGAGGAAAAAACAAGTGTTGTTTATGTTATGTATAGTAGCAGTGGCGCTCTTGCTTTTGCCTGCATACTTCTCTTCCTAATAGGAATTATCTTCATTTTCAAACGTTTGGGCAGTTCCAAAATTGTGCCTATTTATGATGAGATACCAGAAGATCTGCTACAAAGTGACGTGGCGATCAATCGTCCAGTTGTCAGTCCCCAAAAATGTGGCTACTACAACGATAATACTCACGTTCCGTTATCAAAACAACATTCTGGTAATCTTGAGGGCTCCGAGCCTCCACCATATTACAATGACAAGAAAGATTACGACTATGCGTACCAGAAAAGCGATGACTATTACCTAAACCCTTATAATATTCTTCAAACGACGGGATATTCAGACCACTTATATCATGAACTAAAAGAGTAAAGTGGATTATTTTTTTCAATGTACTATTGATACATCTATTTTCGCTGTAGCTTATGATAGCATAACTGAAAATATTTCAGGAATTGCAAAACATGTGATATGACCTTGAAACGAAGGATCAACATATTTTGACTGAACAAAATGGCCACTTATTACTATGAATGAAAATATGTTTAATAATCAATTGAAATGGTTAAAGTACGTCCGTTCAGTTGTCTGACCAAAATAGCTACATGTATATGTATTATATATTACTTTTTGTCCTTTTGGAATAGATATATCATTATTTACCAGATATTACCATACGCGGGTGTATGTGCGAATTCAATAAAATTAAAATCATCGATCATCGATATATTTACATTAATTATGTTTAATCATATTAGTTTTTGAGCATGACCGTAAAGAAATCAAAATCAGTATATACGGTTTTTTCTTACAAAAAACCTTGACTTTGTATCAAAGTCGTCGGTGTGCAACCTAACAAATTGAAGCGTTACTATAAATTGAAATTAGAAAAAAAGATAAAATATCCTAATTGATATAACCAATTTAAATTAATTTAAGCACTTGCAATATCTAAGATGACAGATATTCAACAGCATTGCGATACATGAACCAATTATTTCATATTCTATGAAATTCTCCATGTTGACTATGCGGGAATATATTAAAACTTCTTATTGAATAATGATTTTGTACTAACATGAGCAACACGACGGGTGCCACATGTGGAGCAGGATTTGCTTACCCTTCCGGACCACCTGAGATCACCTGCAGTTTTTAATGGGGTTCGTGTTGCTCAGTCTTTAGTTTTCTATGTTGTGTTTTGTGTACTGTTGTTTGTCTGTTGCTCTTATTCTTTTTTTTTTAGCGTTGTCAGTTTTTTTTCTAATTATGAGTTTAAATGTCCCTTTGCTATCTTTCGTCTCTTTTAGCAAAGATGTTCCCAAGTTGATTATGTTTTGTCATCATATTCGATGTTCTTTCCGAAATCCGATAGGACTGCACTGTATTGAAATGACAAGAAAATAATCCTTCAAAATTTGATTAGAGCTTTATACAGAACAAGTTTGGCATGTATACTATTGAATAATCTTTAAAACTTTCACACCAGCTACTATCAAATGAACAAAACACTATAAATATAAATTCGTGCGTCCGAATCGCTATTCAGGATTTACCTTCGTCGGTAACCATTCAACTGAATCATTTGAAAGCCGGGATTTATAAATACGTGAATATGTTGAGAGGTATATTAAAGGATGTTTTAGGTTTTTTGTCAGATATTTGGAATCCTTTAGTTTTATCCATGTAGTGCCATTAACAATTTTGCCCGCTAACCCCTACTTTTCTTTTCATAATTTTATAAAATATAGTTTAAAAAGCCATATTTGAAAATCTTATAAAATGCTTGTTTTTTTTCATAGTTTTTTAAAGAAAAAAGGTGCCAATGTGATTTGAATGAAAAATCTAGGGAGAATCATTTCCCGCCATATTTTCAATGGCTTATATCTCGAAAACAAGCACACAGACCCTTCATTTTTTTCTGCCTGTTTAGTTCCTTTATTTTTACACTTTCAATTTATAACAATCTTTTGACAAATTTGTTATTTTAAAACACAGTAGCGAACATCCTTAAAAGCATACTAGCCAAGTTCGTCAAAGATCAACTTTGCCTGATCAAACTTGGGAACAAGTCGAAATGGTCATCTGGTGCACTAATTGGTACGGTTAATATTATTGTTATCTTTAGTTCGTATGAAATATAAAAGATGATCATTTATGTCATCTCATCAACTTACATGGCTGTATTCACCTATACAGAGGGTGATAATAGAAATATTACCTTCGTGACAACCTCAAATTTCCTCGCCAGGTGAATACTATATAATTAACACATATAGCTGAGAGGGTGATAGAGCAGATTGTTACCCCGAGAAAACATTTTCAACTGAGGCGAAGCCAAGGTTGACAATGTCTTTTCGAGGGGTAACAATCTGCTCTATCACCCTCTCAGATATGTGTTTTTAATTCATTATACTGAATGTTCTGTTATTACTGTCTATTAAATTTTAAATTCAAAGTAATAAACTATGACGTCTTGTGCATAACAACCATCAGTATCTATTAAAGCGCAAATTTGAGCAAGCGTCTCCGTGAAGTATAATAGAGTATTTGCCATGGAATAGAGTAAATTTTCTCCCTCGTATTAACCAATCAAAATTTGGCATTTTGACATGAAGTATAATAATATAAGTTATGCGCATTTGAATGAAAATCCATTGTCACTCGATTGGTTGTCGCTTTAATATAAAATTTCTCATATTGCAGATACCTTGCAGTCACAATCTGGTTGCTTTCCTGATTTTCTTAAGTTCTAGTCGTTGCATGTTCGTTTTTTTTTTAAACAATTTCAATCATCTTGGTCGAAGAACATCTACTATTGTCAGCTTGTGGGAATTGATTTCCTATGATTATGGCTCTCAGGAAAAATATCGCTAGCAAGTTTAAAATTTTGGCAGTCTATTTCTTATAAGAATGAAGAATCCATAAACAAACGTTGGATGATTTATAATTTTTATTCCTATTAAACGATTTTCCACTTTATCATTGGGCAAAATAATTTTTCCCTAAAGAGGGCCTTTTATAGCCGACTATATGGTATGGGTTTTTCTCATTGTTGAAAGCCGTACGGTTGCCTATAATTGCTTTCATCCACTTCATTTGGTGAATAGTTGTCTCATTGGCAATCATACCACACCTCCTTTTTTATACCCCCGAGTAGCGGAAGGGGCATTCAGTTTTACTCTTGTCCATCCGTACGTACGTCCGTCCGTCCTTCCGTACGAACGTCCCAAAGTTGGTTTCCGTTCTCTAACTTTTGTTTGCCTCAACCAAATGTTATGAAACTTATACACAATGCTCATTACCACTAAATACAGATCAAGTTTGAATTTTGGTGGCCTCACTTTTACCGTTCTTTACCGACTACAACCAATGCTTTATACAATGCAATATTCAATTTTACTTCCTACTGATAAATTGAAGCAATCTTTACCATTCAGTGCTTACAAGCACTTTGATTACTGTTCTAGAGTTATGCCCATTTACAAATGAAAAAAATGCTGAATTTTTCGTTTCCGTTCTGTAACTTGAGTTTGTCTAAAATTAATGTAATGAAATGTATATTATAATGCTTTTTACCACAAAATTCAGTTTAATTTGTTTCCGTTCTCTAACTTTAGTTTGCTTCAACCAAATGTTATGAGACTTATGCATAATGCTGATTAACACATAATACAGATCAAGTTTGAAATTGGGTGGTGTCACTTTTACTGTTCTTGAGATACATGTATGCACCTTTATAAACATAAAAATTGCTGAATTATTTGTTTCCGTTCTCTAACTTTAACCAAATGTTATGAGACTTATACACAATGCTTATTACCACAAAACTCAGATCAAGTACAAATTTAGGTAAAGTCACTTTTACCGTTCTTCAGTTATGTCCCTTTATACCTTTATATGATATGCAAGCGGGGGCATCATCTGTGTCCATGCATGGACACAATCCACATTTATTTTATATAGATCCATTTTTTAGGCTTATCTAGCTGTTAATCCCTTATGGGTATTACATTGCTTATTTTGTAATTTATATAACCTATATTGTTTTAATAAAGTATCATCAGGGTTATTACACTGTGATTTATAAACCAGTTTGTGATTTTACACGTGAAAAATTTCATAGGGCTATTTGACGTAACAGTCAGACTTGTTCATAATAACTGCATAACACTTTAGAAATAGTTTAAGAAATTTGAGTATTAACATATTAAAATACAAGATTTTCTTTTCATGAAGGCGGTTCATTTCCCTTTACATCTTAAGTACTCTCATTATTACTATTGTTTTTGATTAAATAATGTATCATGACAATACATTTATTTAAGCATTGTTGGTGCAAAAAAATCGCAAGGATAAGTTGTCAGAATGGTCGCATATCGGTTAAAAGTAATATTTAAATAGAACACAAAGGAAACAAAAGTTTCAGCATTTATTAAAATATAAAGATTTCATTTTTAAATCACTTAAAATTAAATGTAACATTATTAAATATATATTAACTTAATCAGAGTTAAATCTTTTTATGAGGTTGTTATAATTGATCAAATTTGTTAAATCGATATTCAGAACGTAATCCTAGCTACGAACACTCTGAACCACTATTAAGAAGATATAAATTATAACAAAAAGAATTAGTATGGGTCAATAGATCTATTGTTATGTAGGGAAAGTTGTTAATTTTAGTGTTTATTCAAATGAAAGATTAAGAAAAATGATACCCTTAATTTTGACAATATGGGTTAGCAGTGTTGAATTGATTTAGGCATATTATATTGAGATGTGTGATGAAAATTCTACATCAAATTCATAAAATAAAAGGTAAGTCTAATTTAGTTTTTGAAATATACTATTAATATTAATTTAATAATGTAAAAAGATTCAGAAGTTTACAATTCAGAAGAGTATTATACACTCCAGATTCAATATAAATAATAGATGTGGGGTACTCGTCAATGAGACAGTAAGGCAACGACATAAATAATCAAAAGATACATTTGTATCAAGAGGGCAACATAAAGTCCTTACACAACGACAGGTATCGTTTACACATGTACATCCTCGTATCGTTTGGTCTCTTATTTGGCTATTATACCACATCTCCTTACTTTCATATCAAATACATATGTAAGAACGTTCTTCATGCACATTATATAATTAGCGGAGCAAAAACACAAGCAGCCATTAAAACGGACACCAATGGACCATTAAAAACCGTTAATCAAAAGACAGACTTCATAATGACTGTAAGAAAAAAAAAGTAGATGACCAAAAGAAAAGAAAAAAATGACACACACTGAACAGTCCATAAAAATTCACAAAGATAACAAATTAAAGATCGAGCGACACGAACTCCACCAAAAACAACCTTTTGGGAACTCATTCCCCTGAAGGCTCAACTATCCCTGCTTCACTAATGACAGAATTACACGACTATTAAAAAATGAAATGCTTATATGAAATATGTCTTTTCTGGTTTCATTACATTATGTGGTAGATCTCTCATTGGCGTATATATATATACACTTAACATCACCATTTAGTCATATAGTGTGTTACAATATCTAACAGTGGATTTAAGTTTCTCTGAACACCGACTCTCATCAACATTGTGAACAGCATAACTGTAACTACATGTGACATGTACATGAACTCACTGCTTTTTATCGCATATCTGTTCACATAAGACGGTTTTATGGCCATGACACAGCACAATCAAATTTGAAAATAAGTATTGTATTATGATAGTGATGATATGTATAAGCAAATGGATAAGTATGTGCTGCCCACTCAGCTTTGAGTGCAACGCTCAACGTCAAGTTATACCCTACTTTGTGCTAAACTAACACGCTAAGTCCGATTTTTGACGCCTTTGCTAGCACACAAGGTAACAATTTTCATAAAGACCTGCCATTTTACCCAGAAACACTTTTTGAGATCAAACCAATTTGTCTTTGCTCTGACTGATGCATGATGGTTTCTTAGCGGTGAAGCAGCAATACGCAAAACAAAAAAACATGTGTTGTTGCAATTACTACGTGATAACTGTTAACTTATTCAAAATACAAATAATATCTAAGAGCCGATTTGGCATGGTATGTGGCATGTCATGTGGAAATGTACTTAACCGCAGGTATATTCAAAAATAAAATATGCTTCCAAATATTATCTGACTTCTTTCAAATCTCTTCAAACTACCATCGTTTTAGTCCTGATTTGTTACAGGCAGTGATGGTAAGACGCAGGTTCAACCCCAGGGGTCGGTTTCACGAAGCTATCCTTAGACCAGTCATAAGATATATCTTAGCATATGTCTTGTGATCCTCTTATGAATATATTGGGACATATCTCACACTTCGCCTCGAATCTGTCTAAGGATGATCTTACCAAAGATATCATAAACCTGTCGCAAGTTCTTTTAATTTTTAAATATTAACATGGATTTATGGAAAAATTCATGTAAATGTAGTATGTGTTTCCCATAAATTACTAAACGTATTTACTTATATTCTATAATTAAATGATTTGCAAAATTAAAATAAAAAATAAGTGTAATTTATATAAATAATCTTTTAATAACACACCAATAAACATATGAAAATTAAAATACAAATAGGAGAAAAAAAAAGAAATAAAATGATGACAATTTTTTTTTGTACAAAGTTGTTGAATTCAATTTGTCACTGTATCTGTTATACTAAGATTAAAGGATAAAATCGTGCATTTTTTTCCTATAAATAAATCGTCTGTTCATTGTTGATAAATCATTTTGATAATCCGTCAACCTATAGAGATTAAGTTATGAGCAGGAAAAGGAGTCCCAATTTCACAGAATCAGAGCTTGTGAATCAACTCTTTTGGATCCTAAGACCATCATAAGACACCTCTCGTGTAGTCCTAACTTTATGACCAACTTTAAGAGATGTCCACTTAGGACTACGATATGTTGTAAGACCATCCTAAGACAGCTTTGTGAAACTGGTCCCAAACTTAAATGACAGCTTACATGCTTACATCTTGATCTCTGGGGGAATGTTGTCTCATTGGCAATCATACTAAATCTCCATAACTTTATATAAAAGACCTTTGAAAAAAAATATTGAAAATAAACTTTTCTCGTAGTTATGCAAAACCCCAAATATTAACGATTGGGCAAAGAAAAACGAAAACAAAAGCCTCATACAAAAATGGACGTGTTTACTATAATCATACCATAAAGAATATACATCTCGATTTTAAAACGTGACCGACATCATAACGTGCACACTGACATTTTAAAATACTAAAATCACTATTTTGGTTTTTTGGCGAAATGTTTATCGTTAGCATTTGGTCCATTTGGTTGAGTTCTTGCACTTTAGCGTCTGGTTGACATATTTTGAAATATATGGTCAAAGAAATATAAATATCTGCGCCATATCTGGAACTCTGTGTCTTTCTGTAATGATAAAAGAGAGGCGAAAGGTATCAAAGGGACATTCAAACTCATAAAACTCGAAAATAAACTGACAACGACATGACAAAAATAAAGAAAGACTAAAAGACAAATAACAGCATACAAAATACAACATAGAAAACTAAAGACTGAGCAACACGAACCCCACCAAAAACTGAGGGTGATCTCAGGTGCTCCGAAGGGTATGTAATCTTGCTCCACATGCGACATAACTTAAAGGGTCGTTACGGACCTTACTTTCGGTTAAGAAATTTTTAATCTTCGGAAACTGGAATGAAAGAAAGAATAGCTGTTACCAGTACACTGAAAAAACAAATTTTTCTAATAACCACAAAAAATATTGAAATATCTCGAGTTTCTAAGACACCAAAACATATGTGAACCCCAAATGTTATTCTATTCAACTGCTGTTTTTATACAAAAAGGTAATCGGGTATTTGTCTCTAATCAAAGAAACCGAAAATGTGAAAACAGAAATGCATTTTTCTTTCTTTCAAGAATACACTAATATTTTTCCAATGTAACTTGACTCAATACATTTGCTAAATCATTAGAAGCAATTAGAGTCATTGGAAAACAATACGATTATTTTTAGGATCAATTGCCACAAGATCTGACCTCTGTCACACAGTACAACTCACATTAATAAGCTTATTAATCATGCTTAGGTGAAATTGTCGATAAATATATCGTGTTATGTGTTATTCCTTATACGGAAGAATTAAAATAATATAATTGGCAGTTCAAGGGCCATTTCCTTTAATTGTATTTATTCAAAATCAGGAATACAATTGCGAAAAATCAACTGAACCCCACGCGCTTATTTGCCGTCGAACACCTCTTGGATATAAGTTTTCATTCTTCTGAAAAAAAAATCCATCGTACTTATGTTTGCTGTCAACTCGTGTTCACAAAATAATCGGCTTATAGAGACTATATTCTAATTATAAAATGTGCATTTAAACATAAAAGTACTTATCTTCATATTGCATTGTATGTAAGATTATGTTTAAGTGTACTATTTATGACCTACTTTGCTTGATCGATTGTGCTTTGCTTAAACATTCAATGGCAAATATTTCATGCATATTTAGAACGAGAACAAATTAATGATACACCAAACAGATAGGTCCCGCAAAGAGTGCCGACCGATATCAAGGGAGTGACGTTTGATAGGAGCAGTCATTTAGTTGGAGTTACGTTTGGTAGGAGCAGTCATTTAGTCTTGCAACATGACACCCATGTACCCCTCAAAAAAAGTTTAAAAAGTATTTTAATTTATAGAGGCTTTGGATATATCTACTCCGACATACATCAGCCAACATTAGAATTACAGAAAGCATAATTTTCGAATTCGTTTTCATAAAGTACGAGTATTTTTATATTATAATATTCTTTATTATTTAATAACTTTTGTTGTTGTCGTCTGAAATACAAACATTGTAGCGCTACGTTCCTTTTCTTAACTGTTCTCTATAGTGTCGTTTGATAGGAGCAGTCATTTAGTAGGAGTGAAGTTTGATAAGAGCAGTCTTTTAGTCTTGCAACATGACACCCATGTACCTCTCAAAAAAGTTTTAAAAAAGTTTTAATTTATAGAGGCTTTGGATAAATCTACTCCGACATACATCAGCTAACATTAGAGTTATAGAAAGCATTATTTTCGAATTCGTTTTCATAAAGTACGAGCATCTTTATTATTTTAATTGACTTTTGTTGTTGTCGTCTGAAATACTAACATTGTAGCGTTACGTACCTTTTCTTGATTGTTCTCTATATAGTAACGTCTGAAATACTAACATTGTTGCGTTACGTACCTTTTCTTAATTGTTCTCTATATAGTAACGTCTGAAATTCTAACATTGAAGCGTTACATACATTTTATAAAATGTTCCCTATAGTATCGTCTGATATACTAACATTGTAGCATTACGTACATTTTCTTAATTGTTCTCTATATAGTAACGTCTGAAATACTAACATTGTTGCGTTACGTACCTTTTCTTAATTGTTCTCTATATAGTAACGTCTGAGAAACTAACATTGTTGCGTTACGTACCTTTTATAAAATGTTCCCTATGGTATCGTCTGATATACTAACTTTGTTGCGTTAAGAACCGTTTCTTATATGTTCTCTATAGTGCCGTCTGACTTACTAACATTGTAGCGAAACGTACTTTTCTAAACTGTTCTTTATCGTGATGTCTGAAATAGTAACATTGCAGCGGTACGTACTTTTTCTAACCTGTTCCCTATATAGTGTCGTTTGAAAAAGTAACATTGTAGCATTACGTACCTTTTCTTACCTGTTCCCTATAGTGTTGTTTGAAAAAGTAACATTGTAGCATTACGTACCTTTTCTTACCTGTTCCCTATAGTGTCGTTTGAAAAAGTAACATTGTAGCATTACGTACCTTTTCTAACCTGTTCCCTATAGTGTTGTTTGAAATAGTAACATTGTAGCATTACGTACCTTTTCTAACCTGTTCCCTATAGTGTTGTCTGAAATAGTAACATTGTAGCGTTACGTACCTTTTCTAACCTGTCCCCTATAGTGTCGTCTGAAATAGTAACATTGAAGCGTCATGTACCTTTTCTAAACTGTTCTCTTTAATGTCGTCTGAAATAATAACATTGTAGTGTTATGTACCTTTTCTAAACTGTTTTTCTATAGCATCGTCTGAAATATTAACATTGTAGCGTAACGTACCGTTTCTAAACTGTTCTCTACAGAATTTATTTTACTTGTACCTTTGATTTCGTATGCGGTGGGGGGAGGGGGGGGGGGGGTCGTTGGTTTGCCGGTCGGGTCAAACTAAAGACTTGAAAGTTGGTATTCGCTGCTTCTCCGTTAAGAACGAGGCATTTAAGGATAAGAGCAAAAACCGACCGACTCGGAGTTAAAATAAATGTGTCAAGCTGGGGTGGCAAGTCTTACCTTGTAAACTACCACGTTAATAATCCGGCTCAACTAGTTGAACCCTGCCAAATGATAGTGTGTCTGTCTCCAACCAGGAGCGTCGTAAGTGGATGTTTTCTATTTTAGTTCGAATTTTCTTTGAAAATAACTGTTTTTCACAAACCTCCTTTTATTCATATAGTTTAACCCGCTTCTGTTCGAAAGCTGGAACCCCGTAAGTGCTTGTTTTGTTTTTATCCAAATCTTTTTTATTACAAACATTGAGACTAGTTTTCATCCAAGTAATTTTTATTACAAAAAACATGAGTTGATAGTCTCTGTTTAATTTATACAGAACTTGTCTAGACTAAAGGCGAGGCGGAAATCGTAAAATACGTTAACCTGTAGAATTGTATTTCTTGTGTTGTTGGTTTTCTTTCTCAAAGGCATGTATCTACTACTTTATTTTATCATGATTAGTTAACCCAATTTTCCATGTTTAATAAATCGAAGACGTAATCGAATGTTTTTAGTGCACTCTAAAAAAAAATTTAAAGTCAATAGTTCGGCTACAGCAGGTTATTGCAATTAATGAATAAGTTTGAATCTAATATCACCATTCCGTCAGTGTTACATTTGTTCACATTCTGCATTTGATTTGTAAAAATACGGATTACATATGAATGCACTGCAGCAAAATCAAAAATGTTTGACAAATGATCATTTTGAAGTAATATCTTAAAATTGAATGTTACTGTTTACGGCATATTAAAACCCCATAGAGCTTTCCATTGGTGATAAACCATTTTAGACAAGAAAAGTGCTGACGAAACGGAAGTATGAAATTTGTTTATCGAAGATCAGAAGAACTTCGGTAAAAGGTTTATTTCAAAATGGACAAACCATTAGATCAATAAGTCAGGATAAAACTTTACAGAAGCAGCGGTTTAATAGTAGATAACATCCTACAACCACTCAATTATGTTCTTTTAAGAATTTAATAAATTTGATCATGATTTTTTTTTTCGTAGAAATAGATTCTGTATCTACAAAATGACATAAATTGTGTAAAGTTAGAGAAGAAAATTTGAAAGGTAGGCATATTGATATTTTATTAAGTTTAAAATATTTATCACGATAGATATAAAAATAAGTAAATGTGATATGATTGCCAATGAGACAACTCTCCACCAGAAACCAAAATGACATAGAAGTTTACAACTAAAGGTCACATTACTGCCTTCAACAATGAGCAAAACCCATACCGCATAGTCAAAAGGCCCCGACAAAGATGTGACATTGCTTCAAGTCTGGCATATCCCGTATTTTTACAGATTATTGAGTTATATAGAATGTCGTATGTACAAGGGATACAACTCACCCAAAATCAAACATGAGTGTAGAATCCCTCTTTATGAATTCACGAAAAGAATTAAAGCGTATTATTCCATTTCTAATTTTGTTGAGTTTGGAAGATTTGCCTTTGGTTTTCTTTTTTAACTGATACAATTTTATGCCGAACTTAATAAATTCTACTTCATTATATTTTTTTTAAATTGGTTCAATACTTGGTGGCGATGTTAAAACATTTTTAGTTATCTCCGTGTAAAGATATTAAGAGGAGTTATCTCTCTATAACGATATCAGAACGAGTTATCTCCTGTAAAGATATCAGAAAGAGCTATCTCTGTAAAGATATCAAAACGAGGCAGTTATCTCTCTGTAAAGATATCAGATCGAGCTACCTCTCTGTAAAGATATCATAATGAGTTATCTCTCTATAAAGATACCAGAACAAGGTATCTCTCTGTAAAGATATCAGAACAAGTTATCTCTCTGCAAAGATACCAGAACAAGTTATCTCTGTGTAAAGATATCAGAACGAGTTATCTTTTCGTAAAGATATCAGAACGAGCAAAAAATACAATATATCATAAAATATAATATAATGTGAAACTGTCGCATGCTTCTCATTACGAAGTCAGTGAAACATTTTAACTGAGTAAGACGGGAAGGAAAACAGAGTAATTTCCATTTTTTAAATGAAATATTAAAGGCTATTATATTCATATCAATACATCCCTAGGCTTCCAAACATTTAAGGTTGAGCTTTTCTAATGAAGCTAAAAACTCACCAAAGATAAATGCAGAAAACTTTCGGACACACGTAATACAACTTATTTTTGTCCATTTTCTAGCACTGATTGATACCTCTGCTGGCAGACTGTTAGTAGCTGGGAGTATTATCAGCTCAGTATTCTGTGCTTCGACTCTGACATGAATAAAAACTATTTAAAATTCTCCATTGAATAAATTAAGAAATTATTTAGGAACTACGGTTCAAACTCTCTCAGGCAAAGTTGACCTCAGGTGAATTTGGTTACTAGTATTCCTTTTGGTCAAGGAGATCGGTACGTTTCTACACATTTATACATTCATGTCTGTCAAATGTTAAGGTTTGAGCGTTCCTGATGAAGGTATACTGAAAAAAGCCTTTCGAACGCACGAAATTAATAAAATGATATTTTTCATTTATAGTATTTGGAAAAACATTAATTTTTTACATATTTTTTCTGGAAAAGCTGGGTACATAAAACAGTCTTGCTCTCACTTTTAAAAGTAAAGAACTAATTCCTCTTCCCCCTTCACCTGCCCCTTTCTCTGACTCAATGCCTGCTGATCACAAATAAATCTTAGATTTTTACATGGTACTACAAAAATCTTAATCTGTCTGAACCCGTTAGTTATATTATCAAATATATTTTAAAAATTATAGCTATATGTTTCAAGCGTGCGTACTGTCATTGAAGTAAATATGTTTTATAAATTACAGATGACGGAATTGTCGGAAGATAACCTCCGTAACCACTTAGCCACACAACATGGTCACTTCGAAAAAAAGAGATCCACGAGTTTTAAGAGTGATAAAGATTCTGAAGAAAGACGAACTCCTACACAACGCGGAAGTGCTAAATTGAAAAGAATTTCGTCATCTGCAAAAAGTGCGAATTCCTTATCGTCCATTGAAGACAAATTTAGTGCATTATCAACATTAATACAAGATAGACTGCTTATAACTGAATTTCCCGGTAGAAATTCAGCTGCAGGACGTATTAATGACGATGGAGCCTTTGAAGAAGAATTTCCCGACGAAACTCCGCCTTCCGGTCGTGTTACTAAGGAAGGAGATTATGACACTGATTTGGAGATGGATTATGACGGTAATTGAGCGTTTTAAAAAATCTAATGCATTCTAAATAACATTTTCAAAAGCTTGCACTCTACAATGGATATTCCAGCAGTAACGTAATGTTATGTTTATTCTGGCGTATGAGCAATGAAATTACCAATATTCCTTTAAAATCTGAAAATTATTAAATTATTAAATGTCATGGAGAAATTGTCATTCAAACAGCAATTCACCAACATAAGAATATCAAAACGAAAAAAGACCATACATTGAAAATGTATTTTTGGTAGTCAGTATGAACCGCTAAGTTTGCACAGATAAGGAATTTGAAAATTAAACAAGAGGCAACTTTAACATGACTTGTAATAAAAATGTTGAGCAGAAGATCCTTAAACTATCACAAATACCCCTATTGCAACCGAGGTCATCATAAGGTAAAGTTGTGTAACCATTATACAGAACTTGAGATGAGGATATGTCAATTACTACTATACAGCACACGTTAACCCAACTATACTTAAGAATTGAATGCTTCTTTTTGAAAATTTATTGGAGTGTAAAAGCGTTGACCGAAGTACATTTTGTATGAAGCACGGAAGCGCTTCATTCTAAAAATGTGCGCACGGTCAACGCTTTTACAACCATATGAAATTACTAAAAGAAGCATTCAATACTTATAATTACATTTTTTTGCTTTGATCATGAAGACACGATTTCTATCAAGTTTTTCTTTTATTTACCTGTGCACTTTATTGTGGAAACTCTTGTCATCATGAATGTTTCATTTCATTTTGAAAGAAGGTTAATTTCAGAATGACGCGAATTTGCTGTTAGCCTATCAAAATAACGTATTATAATGAAACAGACATGTAATGTAATCATATCAACATATATGTTTTTCAGATTGGTTACACGCAGAAAAAAATCTTATTGAAGAAGATAAAACCGGTGAACGAAAGTATATAGACATTTGTAATAAAACGGGTGTTATACCGGTTTCTTATTTTGTACGACACATACAGAATAAAGAATTCGAAATGAAATATCATGGTCTTGGTCCTCTTGGTGCTAAAGCTATTGCTCTTCCGCTCCGGGTATGTATGAACTAAAAGCGTTGATTACACGAAGTTATTACGGTTTGATTATAAAAAGATATTACACACAAAATGACGAGCTCGGTTTCTGTTTGAACCTTTAATCTTTGTTAATGCATCTATACTTTATAAGTTGAATGTTGGCTTTGAACTATATTACAGTAATTGCGTGTTCTCTTATACCGGTTCTTTTTGTGAGTTTTGTTAATTTGTTATTTGTTTGTTGCCCTTGATATCGATATGAATAGTCAAGCTTTTTTCAAATTACTTCAATTTACAGATTGATATAATGCTCTACTAACTCATCACTGTCTCAGGTTTTTGGAGAGTTGAGCGCTATCAAACATATTCAATCACATCACGCGTACGTAACTGTTTTAACCTGTTCGAGATCAGGAACCTGTGGTCCATTGTTTTTTTTCGGCTGCTGTCTATCATGATTGTTCTTCGTTTACTGTTATAAGCTAAAAAATATGCTATTTGTTAGTCTTATTGAATTGTTTCCTATTTTGTTATCCCGGGATCCTCTATAGCTTAGGATATGGATTTTGCTTATTGTTGAAGACCGTGCGGTGACTTGAAGTTGCTTACATTCGTGTCTTCTGGTCTTGAGTGGATTATTGTTTCTTTGGCAATCATACTTTTATATTTGTCATTGATTCTTACAAATATCTAAAGAGTGTCCTTTGAATGTCCGTGTCGGGTAACGGATTAGAGAATAATTAAGACAATTTCACCCGTTGTTTTCTATGCTTTACATGTATCTATAACTCCCGTATATTTGTCTTTTTAAATAGTGTGAAGTGATTATTGATGCAGATGGTCCGAGAACACAGTTATCGTCCTTAGATTTTCGTTGTCTATAGTCCCTAGTGTGGACAGTGTATAACTTGCAAATTTTGTTCATACACTTTCCAAATTTATTTCTTTATATTTTATGCATGAAATATTAAGTAAAGGGATGAAATTACATGTTAAAAAAATTGGGTGCTGAATCTTTATGCTAAGTAGTGATTTGGTCCAGTTCAAAAAGGTAAAAAACTAGTATGTGTGAAGCTGTTAAACTGAATTTTAGACCCCCTTAACATATAATTGTCAATATTTTGAGTTAGAGCGAGTAGACTTTCCTATAATTTTAATATCATTTGTCCCAATAGTAGTACACTACACTGTAAAAATCTTTTTGAGATAGAGCAGGTGCGATTTTTTAAATTTGAATTTATTGTCTAAAAGAAATGCACTACGAAATAACTGTGTTCTCGGGCCAGATCAAGAATTTTTGCCAGTGTCCTCGAAATCATTAGTGGTGGTTCTTGATGAAAAATAATTATGTCGATAACCAAAAGAAATGGAGGAATATTCACGATAAAAAAATTAAATGATCCAAAAGTTCTGTTGGTATTTTTTTTATTTCATCAGTTGAAACATGATTTATTGTGTCGGCCAAGAATTCTTTCCCAAGTGAATATCAATTTAGTTGGGTGGTATATATAATTACGCAGCCTTAGGTTATTGAACTGTTAAGTGTTTAAAGAAAAGCAATTACTGTCAGATTTTGGAACAATTCTTCACGATGGAACCATATGTGATACATATAATACAATGTATCCTTATTTTCAAGTGCAAATTACCACCTCGGATACATGTACCCGTCTTTTTAATCTACGAGTATTTTATAATTAATCGATTCACGGGTAAAAAAAATAATAAAATGCAGTTTAACACGTATGGAAAAGTAATACTCTTGCTTTAAATGGAAACATTTATGTGTTTAAAAGGCAATGCTTTTATGTGTGACAATTAAAATAAATATGTGGAAGTTAAAAGAAAGATAAACCCGATAAGAACATTTTTTTAAAAAGAGGTTAATATACGTTTCTATTGTTTAAATCACGTTCGATAGCGATCTTAATATTTTGATCGTTAAAACGAATGCCGACAGTACAATTGTCGCTGGTTAAGTCCCTTTCGGACATACACAAAATGCTTTCAAATCAAAATGCTTAACGTAACTTAAGAGTTCAAATTAATTTTATTCTAGTTTTATGAGGTTTGAATGTTTCTTAAATTAATAGGCTCTTTTGCTTAATGAAATATTATGTAAAACTTCTTGTAGTTGTAAAGTACTTCAACAGTACATTGGTACGCTCAGCTGTAATCATAAATGTTCGATAAAAAATCATTTTCCACTTATTTTCTTTTATCTTTTATCTTTTTTTTTAAAAAAAGATAACATCCATAACATATGATTAAAAGAAAAAAATGCATAGAATAATTATGACAAACTCCTATGCCTAAAACGCGGTAATTGTTTTATATCTTCAGTCAAATAGAAAGATAGAAAAAGTTAATATAGAAGGAAATTGGATTGAAAGTCAAGGTGCAATATACTTAGCTCAGATGTTAGCCAATAACATTTACCTTACGGAACTGGTAAGCTTTTGTAACTTTTAAATAAAATGTTCACATGGAAAAAATAGTATAATTATGTATTGTGGGATAGGGAGAAATGAATTAAGTCGATATTCAGTATCAACGTCTAAAATACCGATCATTTTTCAAATATGTGAGCTATACATGTATAAGTATATCTTCCTAAGTTACGAGTATAAATTATTCAATTTCATTATCATTTATTGAATCTATTTATAATTGTTCTAGGACTTTTAAATGCGTTTTTTTTTTCTTATTGCTGCCTGTAAATTCAGAAATTGTTGTTTTTATTGATACAAATAGTGCGAATGGGTAAGTAAAGCAAAAGAGAGAAAACCCATTCTGATATTTGATACATATATCTTGATGCAATTTTTTTTTTAAATCGCAATAATCAATCTCGCCTGTTTGTCCATTCTTCAAAACTCGCAATAATTATAAATGTATATAATATATAAAATAATATTACAGCATTTAGCAGAAAACAAGATAGGGAACGATGGAGCAAAGGCAATAAGTGAAATGTTACTAAAGAATGATATGATTCATACAGTTGACCTCTCTGGTAATGATATCGATGACAATGGTGCAGAGTTAATTTGTAGTACTCTTATGGTAAGTTTGGCAAAAGTTGATTGAGAGTTATCTCCCATGCTGGTTGTCTTCTTGTTAAGAATTTACGGTGCAACCTGCCTTAATCTAACCCAACATATTTCTGTCTTAATTGACCAGTAATTTATCCTGCCATATAATGATTTTTTTTTTATATTTCAACGGCTTAATCGGAAATCTTGCCAGAATTTTCAGTCGCCAAAGGGTTCGGTTTAGACTGATTTTACTGTATTAATTTTCTAAAATTTATTTATTAGGTTTTTAAGTCCGATAACCAAAGATTGATTTTTCCCTCTATTTGGTATTATAAAACATGTTTTTGTTCTGCTCATGCATGACATATTTTCCAAATGATTTTAAGTAAACAGCAACAACAATCTATCAATCTATAATAGCTAGTCGTACTTTTTATTTTTCCCCTTCTTCATAGATATCTTTACAGTCGCTTATAAAACATATCTTTTTCTTTTAAAAGAATATTCAGAGAGTACCTGCTCCAAAGAAGGACAACAGCTGCAAAAACAATTAAAAACATCGCAAAGAGAAAAATATAATTAGGAAGCACAATTTTACTCCTTTGTTTTAATGTCGACCTTTTAAAACATTGGTAATGAAGTTAATAGCCATTACTTTTAAGATATTCATAAATGTGTCACAAATAGTCTCAAGTCTTCCTTGAATGTAAAATTTTGAGGTTTTGCTAATTTTTACTCAATTTATTTCCAGAAAAACACAACAATCAAACATGTGTATTTAAGCAAAAATTCATTTGAAGAGCGTGCAGCTATAAGTTTTAAACACGTGTTATTACATAACGAAAGTTTAGATACAATAGACCTTAGTTGGAATCATATCAGGACCAGAGGTGCTAGTGCTATAGCGGAAGGCCTACAGGTATGTTCTTACTCCATCAAGTTCACCTACTCCATGTTGGGCATGGCTAAAACTACTACGTCACATTCTAACCAAGAAAAGGTCAATACAGTTTCTGATTTCTTATAATCTAATTATTATTTATTTACACTTCCAATATATTATAAAGGGAGAAGATGGCACTGCGATAAAAGCCATATTTGGTCCAAATAATTAAAGGAAATATCGTCCTGAATATACATGAGATATTTGACACTGAACGTTAAGCAAGCAACGATCAATCAATCAATTTTGGAAAAAATCGGCTTTAGGTTAATGCATAAGCATTTAAGAAATGAAAAGAATTACTGTATCCCATTTAGTCTTATACAGTGTTTTATTATTAGCCACAAATAGGCAAGAATTTGAGATATTTATGAAGGTTGACAAAACTATCAGGCTTTTAGCCCATTTAAGCATATGTAACATAGAGCGCACAATTCGACAAACTAAATATTCATCAGATTACTAGTAATTACTGTAGATAGTACTAAATGAGTACAAGACAAAAAAAGAGTATTGTGAAATTAAACATTATTTTATGTTTATTTTCAGTCGAAAATGAGGTGCCACTCGAATAATTGAACTAACACACACGTTTTCTTCCATCAGTCTAAATTTGCAAATATACTTGTACAATAAAAGGATTATAAATAAATGACTTGTATCTGCTGAATAACGTTTTCGCAAGTTATGGTTGTTCATTGTTTATAAATAATTTTATTGTAGGAAAACTTTGGTTTAAAAACCATTAATCTTGCTATGAACGGGTTTTCTATGATGGGATCGGAAGCCATTGGAAAGGCAATTAAACAAAATAGAACTTTGAGATCTCTAGACATCAGTCACAACAGAATCCCACAAGATGGTGCCAAACATATAGCCAAAGGACTTTCAGAAAATGATGGCTTACAAGAGCTGAAGGTATTGTTTCGATCATAATGAAATTATATGTGTGGTTCAAAAGGGTAAAACCATCTGACGATTAACGGTAAAGATTTCGTTAAACTAATGTTGGGAATACCGATTATACTGTTTAGCTATTTGACGCTAATGGTACTGAAAAGGAGCGTTTGAACCTTGACATTAAAGGTCATTCCTACCATATTCCAAGCACATACTTTGAAAAAGATGTGTAGATAAGTTGTGTGTCATTAAACTACTATTTTTTGCTAATTCTTGCTTACTTCACTGGTCGATATAAAAACAGAGTGTCAATAGTAGGTTTTTTTAGTAGTTAACAAAATTAACAAAACTAGAATAAGTAAGTGCATGTTATTATGTTAACATTCTAGTTAGTAATTGGAATATGATAGCAAGTACATGGACTAAAGGTACAATGAATGACAATGAATGACTTAAAAAAAGGCATTCTCTTCCAAACGGAAAAACTTCTAATTACATTTCAAATTTTTAAAATTGATATTCAAATACTAATTATATTGTCGTAATATACAGACTTGGAGGATGTTAAATATGTACATAAATTTCTCCTTTTTTTTTTTTAGATTGGCAGTAATCCACTCGGATCTGAAGGTCCCTTGAATATTCTCCAGGCAATCGAGAAGAATGACATTTGTACTGTTACAGAACTAGACTTATCTGTATGTATAGATTAGGGTGTCATAGCAACAATTAAAACCCCTTCAAATTCAACCAATTTTAAAACAGATTCATGGACAAGTAAATTTGGTCTCAGAATGGTCTAAATGTATTTTCGTTTAAAAAAAAGTTTCATTCGTGTTAATATATTTGCTAGTTTTAGTCAACAACAACACCAAAAGCACTATGTGTTGTCAAAATAGGGTTACTTTTACATATGTTAGTGTGACACCTAAAGGATGTAGAGAATATTTTTATGTTGTGTATAAAACCTTGATAACATGTAGATGTCTTTTTTTACCGCCTGTTCAATACATTGGTATTATGCCTATTAATAACTATTGTTGTTTGGTTCAGGATTTTTAGATTATATTACGTCATATGACTTCCGAGGTTGTGTTGCGACAAAAACTACCGTCAGTGTGCTTGCGTCTTTTAGACAATTTTAGCGTGATTTGAACCTGTGCAACTATTGTCAGTTAATGAAATTATAGCTGTCTTAGACAGACATTATCGGTTTTATGAATGAACCGACGTTGATAAGTTTGACCGGAACTTATCACGCCATCTGCTGGTTTGGTGGTGAATCAAAGAAAACACTTGTTTCTATCATGCAAATACACAAATACAATCCGATAAATCGATTATCAGGATGTCTGCACATTGATAAAATATCAATTTGCAGACAACCTGATAATCGGTACAATATTTTGGTGAAATTATCATTTTTAGAACGGATCAATACAGTTTTAACTACCTACCTGGCCCACATATAAAGAAATAACATCGGGTTTGGATAACAAACAATTGTCTAAAGTTTTGCATTAATTGTGAATGACCCACTAAACACAATATATTATGTTCATTACTTGTTTCTCTGTATTTTTGTTTGCTGACTTATTTTTTCCTTGAAAATCATTAGGATAATCATTAAAAAACTGTACATATACGATATAGAGACCAATACAAATTGATTAAACAAATGGTAGGAAGAATAAACACGCAACATAAATAAACTTACTTTTTTCAGAATGTATTGGTCACAGAAGAGTTCCAAGAGCTACAAGACAAATTAGAAAAAGACAGAATTCTGACAGTTACACACGGTGGTATAGCTGGAGAAGTGTATAATATACAAACAATAACATTTGATCCTTTACATGATTTTCGGAAGAACCCGGTCGGAATGCTTCGGGATATTGCAAAAGAGGCTGGGTATCGAATGATCGACTTATTTAAGGATTTCGATAAAGATGGAAACAGTTACATTAGCAAAGATGAGTTCGTAATGGGAATTAAGGTAATTTAAAAAAAAAACAACCGAAAACTGTATATACATTTTTTTCTTTATTTCGGTGCGCTCTTAAACCTATTATAGTTACATTGACAGTGGATAAAAGATCATATCCCCTGTGAACAACATGAGATCAGAATGGTAATTAACGAAATCAAGACACTCCAGTATAATAAATGTTATTCTGGCTTCACATGGGTTATGGCTTTCTAATCCCTGTAAAGATCCCGAATAACTTACTAGTATACTATATATTTATATATATTCCTTATGTTAAGTTACCACGAATAACACCATTTCCCATAAAGTATGTGTTACTAGTACTTTAATATAAACGCAAACTTTAACACGTACTAATACAAATATACAGATTAAAATAATCAACATATATCGACTACTATTCGCTAAAAAGACTAGAATGTAAAGACAGATAAGGATATTAACACGAATTCGGATAATTCGTAAATACAGAGAGAAAATTGGATTAATTTTTGAACTGAATATTTGAAAAAAAGGGGAAGTCATTACGCACTTCATTTTAAAAGAAGCAAGCAATTACAAAATCCTCACAATATCGTTATTTTTTAATTTATCTGAGCTCTGTTATCATTGAACATAAAAGATACGGAGAAAGAATTTGTATTTTCAATGGTAAATTTTAAACTAATTTCTAAAGTTTTATCATTATTCACTCACAGCGAGCCGGGATGCAAGTCAGTGTTCGGCAGATAGAAGTGATCATGGAGAAACTCGACACCAATAAAGATGGCTGTGTAGACTATGCGTAAGGATTTCACTATACTATAATCGCTCTATACTACTTCACTGTAATACTTCATGAATTTGAATTTTGGCGGGGCAAAATCACCTGCTAGCCGGATGAATTATCCATTGAAAAATGTTTTTAACTTTTGTAAATTGTGAAACTTATTTCTAATGAAAAATATAGCAATTTATTAGGGGTTTCTTTTATCGAAAAAAGTTTCAATAATGATTCCATGTTTGTTCAATAATTAATTGAATCTCCTGAATTGATTTGTTTCACGTGTTCATGTTCACTTTATTCGAGTTTCATTAACACGTGTTCATGTTCACTTTATTCGAGTTTCATTAACAGGGTTGTACTGCTGACACAAAAACTCTTCCACCAGGTACATTAGGAAAAACTATAATGAAATCGACACTACATTTTTTTGACGGTCAACATCTGTCACGATGTCTGATGCTTACCATGTCGATGCATCCGGTCCCGCTCCATTTGGAACTTACCAGTTTCCTTGGTTTTTCTTTTTTTTTTTGGGGGGGGGTGTCTTAATTTGTATACTAAAAATGAATATATGGGCTTTGAACATCGGTAAACTACTGTTTCTTCTTACTGATATAGTTCTGATCCAGACTATATCTATTAGGTGAATGTACACATTACTAAGCAACACATTTTGGTTTGACGTTTTACCGTGATATGATGGACAAACATGAAAAAAGACACATTCTAAATAATATTAAGAAAAACTAAAACAACAGAATTTGCTGCCCTCAAATATTTTTTTAGACTAATTTTCATTTTTTACCAAAATTATTCAAAACCAAAGATGTACTAATATAGCTGCGGAGGCAAAATAGGGAATAACAAGAACAGCTAAAAACAATTAATTCGTATTTAAGGATGTTCGCTACTGAGTCTCTTGTTTATCACTTTAAGTCAGATATTCGGAATCCTCTTATTTTATCCATGTAGGGCCAAACAAAAAATTTGCTCGCTAACCCCTACTTTTCTTTTCATAATTTTATTACATTTAGTTTAATAAGCCATTTTTAAAAATCTTATAAAATCCTTGTTATTTTTTCATAGGTTTTAAAAGAAAAAAGGTGCCAATGTTAAATGTTTGAAAAATCTAGAGAGAATCATTTCCCGCCAAACTTTCAATTGATTTTATCTTAAAACCAAGTACACGGACCTATCATTTTTTTCTACTTTTTATATTCCCTTTTTTATATACTATTAATTTATATCAGGCCTTTAAAAAAGCTTGTTATTTTTAACCAGAGGAGCGAACATCCTTAATACACGTAACACGTGGCAAATTTGAATGACTCTCTTGCATTTTTTTCAAGATGAAATAGGATTTGTATTATTGTGTAAATTTTAAGCCTCGATTTAATATATGACTGCTTAATTTTCAAGATTAAATGCATATTTCTTTAATATTGAATATTTATATTTTATTTAAAGAGAATTTTTTTATGTAAGTACTGAATGGATGTTAAACTTTGTTGTTCCTTTGTAACTTTTATATCTTTTCATTGCCCTTTTTGTACTTTCTGCCTCTTTTTGCAATGTACATCAATCTGGAATTTTGTGTTTCCTACTTAAACTTCAAAATATATTTTTGTTTCAGCTGAAACTACTATGTGTAGTCTCACATTTCATTTATATGACTATAACTCTATCAGTGTCACCTGGGAATGGTATCTTTTTTGCTTCACATTCCAATTTTGTTTTGGTAACATGAAACCATTTATTTGCAAACTAATTTCTTATATTTGAGTTTTGTCTCTATAAAGATTACACTTTCGAACCTTTTATTTGTAAATGACTCTGTCAATCCTTTGTTTTTTATTGTCGTTTATCCCTTTCTTAGACATAAAAACCTTTTGAATATTGATGGTATTTCTTAAATGGATAAACACTGACAATGTATAATATAATGAACCTCTTAAGATTAAACAATTTTCATTTTTTATAAAGATACTTTTGTTTTAAATAGACAAGATTTGTAATCCTTTGGTATATGCTCATCTTCATACATAGACTCTGTGCATTGTTTCCACCAGTAAAATAATTTAAAAAAAAACACCTCAATTCGGAACATATCAAAATTATATAAAACGTATGAACAAATTCATGGATGTTCTCTGCTCTGTTTCAAAATAACAAGATTTTTAAAAGACATAAATTGATGGTTTATAAAAAACGGAACTGAAAAAGCAGAAAAGAAATGAATGGTCCGTGACACTGTGTTTGTTTTTTGAGATATAACCCATCGAAAATCTAACGGGAAATGCTTCTCTCTAGTTTTTTTCACATATTTAATATTGGTACCTTTTTGCTTTCAAAAACTATGAAAAAATAGCAAGGATTTTATAAGATATTCAAAAATTGCTTTTCAAACTACAATATAGTTATTGTGTAATAAAATTATATAAAGAAAAGTAGAAGTTAGCGGGCAAAATTTTGGTTGGCACCACATGGATAAAATCATCACAGTGAACATTTTTTACATAAATCAGGCCGTTAGTTTTCATGTTTGAATTGTTTTACATTTGTCATTTCGTGGCCTATAAATTTATAGCTGACTATGCGGTATGGGTTTTGCTCATTGTTGAAGTCTGTACTGTGACTATAGTTGTATACATTTCTATGTCATTTGGTCTCTTGTGGGGAGTTGTCTCATTGGCAATTATACCACATCGTCTTATTTTTATATAGGTTTCCAAATCAACCAAATCGAAAGATCATTTCTTCCGTTGGGTACCTCGAATTCATGAAAAGCAACTTTACCCGATTGACTGGGAAGAAAACTTCCTTTCATCTCTGGTTGATAGCCGTCTTATTGACAATCATACCACATCACTTTAATTACAATTTCGTATAATTATATATTATTAATCGATTATTTTTAAGGATTTGTGATTCGTTAAAACTTGATCACGTGTACATTTGTATTTACTCAGTTTGCACATCAATACTATTGTGTTTAGCTTTTCGAGGGTCAAAAACAGCATATTGCATAGGGCATACAGCATGTTACTAAAATACTTTCTAGAAATCCCCAATTTTATATTGTTCATGCAAAAGTTGTTGATTAATCATATAATAATTGTAGCCTTTGGTTGAGGTCAATACGATGCTATATCGACCTAGAGAAGCATATCGACTTCGGACTTCGTCCTCCGTCAATATGCTTCTCTTATGTCGATGTAACCTCCTATCGACCACATACAAAGGCTATAATTGTATAATATCTAGTAAATTAGGTTGTATTCTAACATATTTATCCGCAAATAATATATGATATTTCAAACATCTTTGCAATTATCAAGTAACTATCATTTCTATTACAGGGAGCTTATAGCCGCAGAACGAGAACTTCGGAGAAATAAATTGGAACAGAATAATCTAAAGTTAGACAGGAAGAATTCACAACTTGTATGAAAATCGACAAGAGTCTGATACAGTTTTTATCTTCTTTTTTCTTTAAGGATTGTTGATCATGGATAATTTAGCATTTATATCAAATTTCAATGAGGTCTTGTTTAATACTTTATCATTGTATATTTTGATGAATATTATCATACTTACTATCTTGCACTTTCATCTTGAATCAAATTATCTTTTAAATGACTTTGTATGTTTTAGTATTATATTTACCAAATCAAAAGCCTGTCGCATGTGGAGCAGGACCTTCTTACCCTTCCGGAGCACCTGAGATCACCCCCGTTTTTTAATGTGGTTCGTGTTGCTCAGTTTTTGGTTATCTATGTTGCATGTGTTTTGAATACTGTTGTTTTTCTCCTGATCGATTTTCGTTTTTTGCCATGGCATTGTCAGTTTTTTTTTACTAATGAGTTTGCATGTCCTTTTGGTATCTTTAAATCTTCAAAAGATTTTATGTCGAGGATGACTTGCTATTGACAGATTTGCAATTGTTTACCACCAAGATAAAGTTAAATTTCAAGGTAAAGGACAAAATTAAAAGTTCGTCATCTCTCCACATCCCGGACAAATTTTCATGTGCAATGTACATCTAACTGTTTTTTTCCCAGTGGATGCATGCATGGATTCTGTCTTTCATGCCGAATGTAAGATCATAATGTATTTTATATGTATGCTTGATCGCGATAGAATTGTCATGGTTGATATCCAACATCTTCAATTTTCATTTTAGGAAGCCTTAGAGTTCTTGTTCTAAAATTATTATATTATGATATCTAAAATATCTGTGATCAAATGCTCTACAAATCTTAATAATGTCCGACTGTGATTTTAGAGTTTTGCATTTCTGTTATTTTATCGTTGTTACATTCATCTTAGATAAAGGTTGAGCTAAGACTATTCTGGCTAGTATTATTTTTTTCCAGTGTAGTTTCCTTTTTGTCATAAATCGTCTCACATATTCAGGTATCTAAAAAAAACTTTGACTTTCAAATATTTGAGCGTTCCTGATAAAGTTATTTAAGAAAAACGCTTCGAACGCATTGCAATTTACAATATGTGCGTTTTCTGTCTAAATTTGAAGATGAGGCAACCAGCCTAGTATTTAAGAAAGGTCTAAGAAAAGTATGTTTGAAATAACCATATGCAGGCACATCCAGACTGAGTGGGAAGTTAAATCCTATAAGTTAAGAGAATCGATTTTTCAATTCACTAATGGTTTCAACTGACTTGTTGCCAGTTAAAAGTCTGTTCCATTCGACAAAATCCTCTTTTTTCGGATAGTAGTTTAAATTTTCTACCGTTCGTTCTGGTCGGCCTATTTTGCACTGCATACTTATTGTTAATAAGTTCTTATTTTGAATATGCATATGTATGCTTTAATTTTTTCATTTTACGTTTGACAAATAAAAAGCAATCAGGTATTCTAAGCAATGGAAGTTCATTTGACTGTAAAAAAAAGATCTGAAAATCTCTGATGTTGCCAACATGATATTTCCGACATCCGATGGACATAATATGAAATCCTTGAAAAGAAAGATAATACTCAGTGCTTTTTTTTGGGGAAATTCTACACAAACAAGAAATAAATTGCTCTGAATATTCTTCAATCTCTTTTTGTTGTCATTTTCGAGAATATGACAAAGTCCAAAATCTGAAACTCTTTATATTTCTATCTATACCAATGATTCTGATATTCAACTTGAATACGAACTGATTGACATTCGTAAGGAGGTTCACTGCTTTGTTTCAAAATAACAAGCTTCTTAAAAAAACGTTATAGATTGATAGCTTATAAATAATGGAACTAACAAAGTATAAAAAAGTGAAAGGTCCGTTATCTTGTTTTTAAGATATATGCCATTGGCGGCAAATGATTCTCCCTAGACTTTTCATACCTTTATTATTGCAACCTTTTTTTCAATTAAAAACTGTGAAAAATAACAAGAATTTTCCCCAAAAATTCAAAAATCCTTTTTTTAACTAATATAGAATAAACAGCTGCGCCATGAGCACATGATACGCCCGTCGTCTTGTTTGTGAATTTTTATGCAATAAGCATAAATAGTTTCTGACATACGGCGTGAGATGCGAAAACCCCCTTTTTTTTACAAAAAATTCAATATCTTTAAAAAATTTTTTTAAATCAAAACCAAAAAGTATACAGATCTTTAGATTAATATAACTAAGAAGTGTGTAAAATTTTAAGCAATAATCATAAATCGTTTTTGAGATACGGCGCGACATGTGAAAAACCCCTCCCCTTATTTTACAAAATACTCAATAACTCAAAAATTAAATTTTGAGTCATCACCAAAAAGTATACAGATCTTAAGGTTAATATAACTAAGAAGTGTGTAAAGTTTTAAGCAATAATCATAAACTGTTTTTGAGATACGGCGCGACATGTGAAAAACCCTCCCCCTTTTTTAAAAAAATACTCAATATCTCTAAAATAAAATTTTGAATCATCACCAAAAAGTATACAGATCTTAAGATTTATATAACTAAGACGTGTGTAAAGTTTTAAGCAATAATCATGAATTGTTTTTGAGATACGGCGCGACATGTGAAAAAAAACACACACCTGTTTTAGTTACTAAGTCCCGTAACTCAAAAAGTTTTAATCTTATTTTCACCAAAAAGTATGCAGATCGTTTGACCATCATAAGAAACAACTATGTTAAGTTTCATGAAATTTGGATAAGTCATTCTCAAGTTACGGTGCGATATGTTTACGCCGGACAGACAGACGGACAGACGGACAGACGGACGGACAGACGGACAGACAGACGGACGGACACCGGACATTTGTATACCGTAATACGTCCCGTCAAAAATTGACGGGCGTATAAAAAAGTATTTGTCATAGAATTATGAAAAGAAAACCAGATAGTGGGCAAATTTTTTAATGGCACTACATGGACAAACCAGAGGATTCCGAATATCTGATAGAAAGTAAAAAAATAAGATCAGCGTACATCCTTAAGCGAGGCAGGTTATGAATAATGCATATGCCAACTCAAAATTATGCTTATCTGTACCTTCTGTCTAGCCCGATTCCTACATAGATTACTAGTTTCCTTGTTCGTCAGGAATTTAAACAGTTGATACAATGCTGCGGTCATTATTTGACATAAGGCATCGGATACTGATTAAGTATTTTTGTTATCCAAAATATTTATTGATCATTGTAATAAATATTTTTTTATATTTTTTTCTCTCTTTGGAACGCGTGTTATTGATATCAAAATTATTTAAAAAAATGGTTCCGTGCGCACATATTGTGTTACATAAATAACCTCTATCAGGTATGCTCATAATCATGTTTAGAAAGCCTTCAATAAAAATTAATATAAGCAGTTCCAATTTTACTGCACCATGTGCACATTTCGACAATAAATATCTCTTCAGTGATACGCGAGGCCAAAGTATTTGAAAAAACTAAAACTTATACAAACGTTTAATAGCTTATCAAACCAAAAAGGGCATATAGTATAGACAAATCCGTGAAAGGAATCAGAGCTTTGTTTTAAGGAGATATATTTCTTTATTTAAAATTATATGTAAAATTTTATAACAACATAATTCATCTAAACAATATCCGTATTTTCATGCAAGTACCGAAGTACAAGCTACTGAGTTAGCGATACCTTTGTCGACTTACAGTCCACCAGCAGAAATATTGACCTTTAAAGCGATATAAATTACGTTTTACAACATGTGTGCATTTATTAAAGTGAACACCATCAACAAACAAAACACAACTCACCAAAGAAGTTAATCGGCGTAATGATTTTATTTTTTCAAAATGAAAGCTGTCTTTTTTTTCGGTCATATCCTACGTATCATCATCGATGTGGTCTTTATTGATTGATCTCTTTTCCAAAAATACCAACGCACGCCTTTTAGGTGGTCCTTTTTATTTCCCAGAAACAGTCCGTTTAGATTAGAATAATGACAGTTGTGGTACCACCAAGCTCCTTTGGAACCTTCTGCACAATTCTTGCGATTATTCCCGTCATTATCTTTATCTTTCGTCGAGAAAGCCCGTTTGTTATGGTAACTGAGCCAGCATTGAACTTCAGTTTGATTTATAAATTGGCATTTGTTATTGATGTTTCGACACATTGATTCAAAAATAGCTTTTTAAAAGTATTAATTATATGTAAGAAGTGGTAAATAGAATTAACTATAAGTATACATTATAATATGTTTATGACCACGCACCTAATTGGTCGGTGCATATAGTGTCCGTCATTCCGTCATTCTGAAATCAAACAGTTGTCATTACTTTTTTCTTTATGTCTGAAATTGCTCTGATTTTCGAACATTATGGTATACTTTTAAAATGTGGACTTACAGACCGAGTTTGTGTTTTGCTCCGGGTAACCGAATTTGTAAGAATAACGATCCTGGAAAAATTTCATAGCAATTTTAACTGGAGATTCTACTATAATGTGGAATATCAAAAAAACGAAAATAATTACACTCATTTTATATTAGATTTTTAAACTGAAAAGTAGTAAACTTATCACCTAAAATTGCGAAAAATTATTTCTTTTTATATTTTCTGAAATTCTCTAAGGACAATTAGAAAATGTGAAATTATATGAATATTATGTAAAATAAGTATTTTGTAATACTGTAAATTCAGAAATTATTGCGTGCATTTATAATTGCGATTTTTGGGGAAACGACAAAAATGCGAGATTAATTATTGCAATTGCTGGAAAATCTACATACAGTTCTATATATCTGATATCAGAATGCGAGCTCTTATTATTGCGATACGCACTCAATCGCATTATTCGCATTAATAAAAACCTCGCAATAATTTCTGAGGTTACAGTAATATAAATCTGTGTTTTGGACAGGTTGACGAAATAGATGTAAGCCGGTTATATAACCAAAATCTTGTTTAAGTGCAGTCACAAAAACGAAGTTCTTAGCTATTTTAATTGTTCTGATTTATGATTTTTTACATGTATATCTGTTTCATAAGTTTTAGTACATAAATGCAACTAATGTTCCGAATGCTGTGAATAAAGCATAACTTGTTTACATAGACAAAATCGCAAAACACCGGTTTTATTTGAAACAATTGTAAATTCAATGCAATTTCAACCTGTTACCCTATTAATCCCATATCTGTATAAGTGTGTCCTTTACTGACTCAGTAGTTGTTGAAATGAGATCCCACTTATAAATAACACAAACAATAAACAAACCTAAACAATAAGAATTATTTAAGTTCATTGTCCCACAATCTTTGAAAAATATAAATATTACCTGCGGTTCCATTGTACATGTTACCATTCACGGTCAATCTATAGTTGGTTGATTGGTCTCCGATGTTGAAGGTAGAATATTTGGCATATGCCTTGTCACCATTAAATCCACCAGATCTACCCTGAGTTCATAATTTCCTTTGGAAGTTAAGTCATTTAATTTATCATTTCCTTTAAAAATAAATCACAGTAAAAGAAAATATAATATTAGTATAGATAATATTTTCAAATATTGTTCTCCCCTAAATTCAAATCTAGACTTCGTGGAAGATCAAAACAAGAAATACATGATATAAACACATCTTAAATCTGCGTTAAGTCGAAAATGATTTAAATGTAGATATTTTGTTGGTTCATTCAAAGCTTATAATCGTAAATTTGTTGTTAATTTTGGGTATAAATAATCTTGCAGTCGTATAACTGCATTCAATCTAAAAAAAAAAATTGAATACTAGTAGTGGCGTGTATTAGAGTTCATGATTAGACTCAATTCCGGTTCTTACTCCAATGAAACAGTTTACGCACGCTACATCAATTTTTACAATATGCTATTTCTTGTTTTTAAACTAGGCACAAAATCCGTCAATAAACAACACATGCATGGAAAATCATTCAAAATAAAAAAAAAGTTTCACTTTGTGTTATAGAATCTTAATTCGATACAACAGCTAGTTTAGTGGTAGTTTACTTCGATGGTCTTCCTGATAATTTGCTAACTAACACGTTAAAATTCGACTCATCGTGTCGATCTAGTACAAAGCAGGGTTCATACTCATATCCCATTGACATGTTCCCGTCCTTAAATGCATGTGATATTTGCCAATGGAATTAAAAAAAAATCAATCCATCATTTCATATTTTCATCGATTTTTAACTTTCAACTGATGTCACCTACAAGTTTATGTACTTATCTGTTCTGTTAAAAAGTTAACAATACGAAGTAAATTTTCGATATAGTCTTTAGTAAGCAAGTCTGAAAAAGTTGTTCTGATATTTTTACCTTGACATAAATTGATCTAATTACTGACCTAACCAAAATTCTGTTTTGACATCACCAAATCCTTTTACATATTCTGTCCATCCGCGATAGAAATCTACTTTACCATCTTGTCTGCGCTGAAAAACCTAAGTTATGAAATGTTAAAACTAATTTATATGAACAAGAAATATACATGTATGAAACATAAAATGTTTGTACCTGGTAGTATGACAATTGCTATATGATTTAAATTGGAGAAGCTTATAAGAACAACATGTCACATATGCATTTGTGCATTAATAGAGATATATCACAATATGAGACTAATCTCGGCGACTATTGCATTTAACTGCTGAAGATAATAAAACGTCAAATACCAAAGAAAAACACAAAATAATTTGATCAATGACTAGGAGTTGATTAACGAAATATTTAGTATATTGTGGGGTATTCAGCTTCTAGTATGTACTAATTTAATGAGTCCCACGCTGTAACACAAGATTTTTTGTTTTTGTTCTTTAAGTAGTCGCTACTTCGTCGTTGACCCTTCATTACGAATTGAGAAACGTATAATCACTTAGATGGTTGATAAATTGGTCTCAAACAAATTACTTGCAGCTATGAATTATTATAGCACTACTTTCGAGCACTGTTAAAATCAGTCTAGCTAGATGGTGGGGGATTGCCCCCAAATATGAAACAGAAATAGTTACTAAGATGCAAAGAAGGACATTAGAAGAACATTTTCCATTCCAAACTATTCACCAGATATTCCATATTACATAATCAAAAGTGATTATAACAAACTACACTATCCATGCTAGCTTTAAGATACAAAGTTAGACTGAATAATTTAATCAAACTTATAGTTACAACACAAAAACCGGGTCTCCTAAGTTAGTATAACACATGATACATTCACAAATTTCAGAACTGAAGATTTCAAAGTTAAGAATTAAATAAAAGATATAGGAGCACTGAAGCTGAAATCGATCTAAACCGAAAAGTAATAACAATGATAGTAGCTTGGCTTTTAATTTGTTTTTATTCGAGCGTCAATGATCAGTTTTTTTTCAAGACGTCTGGCGTACAAAATTATAAGCCTGGTTGGTATCTTTGATGAGTTTTATTCATGTCAGTTTGGCTGACTAATATGTAAACCTAGTTTTAGTTAAACTTTCTTATTCTATAAATTGAAACAGAGGATGTGTGATAAGAGCCATGATTATTTGAAACCAGAAATTGCTAAACAAAGATTAAAATGTTTCAGTCCTTAGAATAGTATGTTTACTTTATTGATAGATATTAAAAGCCCGAAATACATATGTGAGATAGAATTCGAATATATTGGTAATGATATCTTAAAACGAATGTTTTTTGCACATCGAATTAAAATTTTGCTAGAACCGAAACATAATCGACTGGTTGCCAGTATAGGAACGTCGTCATTTATCATAGACTTTAGATATTTTGTGCTTATGGTAGGATATTTGGTATTTTTAGTATTTTAGCATTCTGTCTTAAAAGGTATTAACTCGGTGCGCTTTTTGTTGCCGGTGTTTTTTCGAGTGTTTGGCTGTATGTCCTGTATTAGCTGTAGCATATTTGTATACTAAGCATCGCCTTTCAATCGAAATTAAATATCATTGTTCCATACATAACTGAATGTACTGATACGGAACAGACACATTTTTTTATTATCTATACAAAAAAATGCGGAACATACCAAGGAAACAATCAAAATAATAAGTCGACGAAAAATAGACAATACCGTTGTAAAAAAAATTCGATGAAAAGAAAATCAATTGTCTACAAAACACTACACAATACTCTAAAGGGGCACTAGCTGTCAAATTCATGTTCACCGATTTGACTCAAGTTATCATATTTGATTTATAACAATGTAAACCATTTATCCAAACTATTAAAAGTCTAAAATAAACAGCTAACAGGACATGGGCATGATAACACGTAAGTTCGTTTCGTGTGTATTTTAGTCTAGACGCCATCTAATTAACTATCGAGTTGACCTTCAAAGTCATCCGATGACCATATAAGCGATGTAAACATAAATAAAGATATAAATAGATTAAGCGAACTCGTGCTATTGGATTTTTTAAGGTCTGTTTAATTTCATATTATAGATTAAAAATATATGTTTATCATCGTTTTTACCTGTACAAGAATGATTTTTTTTGTGGATCGGATCAGTCAATCAAATGATTTACCTTTGTTTCACTTTCAATGTTGACATTCTTTTCCTTTAAATAACTTTACATATACAATTCACGTGTTATCCATCTCTAGCTAAGGGGTTAAATTGAAGTTCACATGAATACGGATTCAATGAGGTCGAATTATTCACGTGCAAGTGAATAATTCATCATCAATGTTTCTTAGCTTATTTTGACAAAATTGAACCATACTGGCGGCTAAAAGCGAATAATTATTTCACTATTTCACTTTCATTAATGATTGAACAAAAAAAAATCATATATTAGATATTTTATATATCTCGTAGCTAGTGCCCCTTTAAGGAGGGTTCTATAATGATTTGTCACCTTACGAATAATATTAGATAGTCAAATTAGTTGAAAATAGTTAAAATGCAAATAACTGAACTGCATTTAAACGTGAAAAATATGTCCACATATAAAATAAGCTGTCAAGTAGAGAAAGTCTTACCGTCCATCCTCCTCCGTCCGTCTCCATATCACAGTACACGTTAAATCCAGCTCTACCCTCCGGGGAGATTTTGTACACTCCACTTCTCAAATGTTTTCTGTCTAAGTCGGAGCAGTCCCGATAAATATGCGCTGAAGAATCTAAATAAATAGTTAACTGTCACAGGTTCATAGTAGTTCAGTAAAGACATAAATAAGAAAAAATGTTTGGTGACAAAAAAAATTGAAGAATTACGATGAATGTCAAAGTCGTCTCCATTTTACTTAAATTAATTAAAAACAGCTCTTTTGTACTGCGACACGAAATTGTACATATGGTTTGAATCTATATATCTATAAAAATGAAATGGAAGTATTTTTTTATTTTATATTGCATAAATATGTAAAGGGTTTATCCTCGATTTTCCCCCTTTTTTTAAATTTTAGAGTTCTGATTGTCCCACATCAAAAATTCTGATTGTCCCACTATGAAAAATTCTGATTGTCCTACATTATTATATTAGGTGTGTTCAACGTTTCTCTAACAATTATATTTTTGAATACAGGTAAACAAATTCTTGTTGGAGCAACGTGCTTTTTTGTTTTGGCAATTGGGATTAATGAAATCTACCTGTAAATGAAGTTACAGTAAATCCAGCACATTTTAAACATATTAACTTTTGAATGATCTGACGGATTAATAATTAAAAGGTCAAAATAGAAAAAAAATATACATTTCATAAAAAAGCACTTATATGCAAACCAGTGATTTACAACGAAACTATTTACCAATCGTATAAAATTATCGACAATGATAGCATTTATGGACACTACAAAATCTAGGACGAACGTACAGGAAAAATGCTTTAAATTGTAGGCACATTTTTAGTGTAATACAAAAAAAAAATAAAATCTGTAAATTAAGCACACGAAGTTTGACATGTTTAATTAATAAACAAATTTTTAGATTTGATCTTGATAAGTTGAAAAGTGGTCGTATGTCTGCACATTTTTATGGTGTAGTAGACTAAAGACGAGTTAAAGAAATAAAAACATTTGAGATTAACTTTTCACCGGAACTTAACTTTGATAAGCATATTCAAAATTTACAAACAAAGTGCATAAAAGTTATAAATTGTATGAAATTACTCTCAGGAACCAGATGGGGCGCATATCAGCTATTAAAACAGAAAAATTTATTTATCTTTGATTGGATGAAAAATTGATTGCGGTTGTGAAATATAATTCATCTTTTTTACAACTCAAAACTGTTTAGATAATATTCAAACTCAGACATTACGAACATGTAGTAGCTCAATGACATCTGCTTCTTTGAAATATTTCTCATACTGAAATGTGTGATCCACCGTATGAAATAAGAAGACAGAGTTTAGCTAAAGGTGCGGTTAATGATACTTTTATTTTTTATTATTACTAAAAAATTGTTATATTAAAACCTACTAGAAGTTGTCATATACATTTTTATTTTTAATTACAATGCGAAGTTTAACAGTATTAGAATTATTATA